AGGTCCTTTACCTCTTTTGTTAGATTTATTCCCAAATATTTGATTTTTTTTGTTTCAATAACAAAAGGGATGGTTTTTTTGATTTCTTCTTCTTCAGATTTATTGTTTGTGTATAGGAAGGCTACTGACTTTTGCGTGTTGATTTTGTATCCTGCCACTTTACTGAACTGATTGATGAGTTGAATTAGCTTTTCTGTGGAGTTTTTGGGGTTCTCTATGTATAATATCATATCGTCTGCAAATAGTGATAGTTTGACTTCTTCTTTTCCTATTTGGATTCCTTGGATGTCTTTCTCTTGTCTTATTGCCCTGGCTAGGACTTCCAGTATTATATTGAAAAGCAGTGGTGAGAGTGGACATCCTTGTCTTGTTCCAGATCTTAATGGAATGCTTTCAGCTTTTCACCATTGAGAATGATACTGGCTGTTGGCTTGTCATAGATGGCCTTTATGATGTTGAGGTATGTTCCTTGTATCCCAAGAATTTCAAGGGCTTTTATCATGAATGGGTGTTGCACTTTGTCGAAAGCTTTCTCAGCATCTATTGATATTATCATATGGTTTTTATATTTCTTTTTGTTGATGTGTTGGATAACGTTGATTGATTTTCGGATGTTAAACCATCCTTGTGCCCCTGGAATGAATCCTACTTGGTCGTGGTGAATTATCTTATGGATACATTGTTGGATTCTGATGGCTAAAATTTTATTGAGGATTTTTGCATCAGTGTTCATTAGGGAGATTGGCCTGTAGTTTTCCTTTTTTGTGTTGTCCTTGTTCGGTTTTGGTATTAGTGTAATGTTGGCTTCATAGAACGTGTTTGGTATTGTCCCTTCCTTCTCAATTTTTTGGAAGAGTTTGTGAAGGATAGGCACTAATTCGTCTCTGAATGTTTGGTAGAATTCATTTGTAAATCCATCAGGTCCTGGGCTTTTGTTTTTGGGGAGGTTTTTGATTACCATTTCAATTTCGCTAATGTAATTGGTCTGTTTAGGTGTTCTATTTCTTCTTTATCTAGCTTTGGGTGATTGTAGAGTTGTAGGAATTTGTCCATCTCTAGATTGTTAAACTTGTTTCCATATAACTGTTCATAGTAGTTACTGATTATTCTTTTGATTTCTGCTGTGTCCGTTGTGATTTCTCCTCTTTCATTGATGATCCTGTTTATTTGTGCTTTCTCCCTTTTTCCTTTGTGAGCCTGGCTAGGGTTTGTCTTTTTATTGATTTTTTCAAAGAACCAGCTTTTGGTTTCATTGATCTTTTGGATTGTTTTTTTAGTTTCAATTTCATTTATTTCTGCTTTGGTTTTTATTTCTTTTCTTCTACTGGTTTGGGGTTTTTTGTTGTTCTTTTTCTAGATCTTTGAGCTTCGAGATTAGGTTGTTTCTTTGAGTTCTTTCTTGTTTCTTGATGTGAGCTTCTATTGCTATATATTTCCTCTTATTACTGCTTTTGCTGCATCCCATACATTTAGGATATTGGTGTCCTCCTTGTCGTTCAATTCAAAAATTTTTTAATTTCTTCTTTGATCTCCTCATTAGTCCAGTGGTCTCCCAGTAGTGTGGTTTTAATCTCCATGAGGTAGGAAAGTTCCTTGCCTTCTTTTTATGGTTTATTTCTAGTTTGATGCCTTCATGGTCAGAAAAGATGGTTGATATGATTTCAATCTTGGTGTATCTGTTGATGTTTGTCTTGTGCCCCAGTATGTGATCGATCCTGGAGAATGATCCGTGTGCGCTTGAGCAAAATGTGTACTCCGTTTTTTTGGGGTTTAGTGTTCTATAGATGTCTGTTAAGCCCAATTGCTCTAGGTTCTTATTTAGAGCTTTGGTTTCTTTACTTATTTTTTGTCTTGTTGATCTATCCATTGTTGATAGTGGTGTGTTTGAAGTCTCCCACTACGTATGTGTTTTCTCTGATGTCTGTTTTCAGAGAGGACAACAGTTTTCTGATATATTTTGGTGCTCCTTCGTTTGGTGAGTATATGTTAATGAGTGTTATTTCTTCTTGAAGTATTGTCCCCTTGATCATAATGTAGTGACCATTGGGGTCTCTTTTTATCTTTTTGAGTTTGAAATCTGTTTTATCTGATATAAGTATAGCTGTTCCTGCTTTCTTTTTTGGCCCATTTGCTTGTAGGATTGTTTTCCATCCTTTAACTTTGAGCCTATTTTTATCTTTTGTAGCTAAATGTGTTTCCTGGAGACAGCAAAGGTTGGTTGTTTCTTAATCCAGGCTGCAACTCTGTGTCTTTTTATTGAAGAGTTTAGTCCATTTACATTTAGAGTTAATATTGATATGTTAACATCTGTATTTGCCATTGTGTTTGTCTTTCCTTTGATTTTATTTATTTATTCTTTTAATAACTTTTTTTTTTTTTGGCCTTCTTTCATTGTTATTCGTCCCTCTGAGTTTCTGGTTTAGGACTCCTTGTAGTATTTTTTGGAGTGGGGTTTAGTTGCAATGAAATTCCGGAGTTTCTGTTTGTCTGGGAAGGTCCATATTCTTTCTTCAAAGAGGAAGGAGAGCTTTGCGGGATAGAGTATTCTTGGTTGGCATCTGTTTTCTTGGAGTCTGTTGACTATGTCCCTCCACTCTCTCCTTGCCCGTAGTGTTTCTTCGGAGAAGTCTGATGTCAGCCTGATTGGCTTTCCTTTGAATGTTATCTGTTTCTTCCCTCTTGCCAGCTTCATTATTTTTTCCTTGTCCTGGATTCTTGGGAGCTTTACTATTATGTGTCTTGCTGTATTTTTCTTTCGTCGTGGAAGTTTGGTGTTCTTCTTGCTTCTTGTATATCAATTTTCAGCTCCTTCTTCACATTTGGGAAGTTCTCTTCAATTATCTCTTTGAATATTTTCTCTGTTCCTACTTCTCTCTCCTCTCCTTCTGGTATTCCTGTAACTCTTATATTTCCTTTCCTCATGGAGTCAGATAGTTCCCGAAGTCTTTCTTCATTCTTTTTCCTTCGTACTTCTCTTTCCTTTTCTGTTTTGGTTCTTTTTATTTCTGTGTCTTCAAGAGCACTTATTCGTTCTTCCATTTCATCAATTCTGCTTTCATTGCTTTTCCCAGAATTCTTTAGTTCTTCCACTAATTCTTTGATCTCCTGCATTTCTTTTACTTCCCTCTTTAGGGACTCAATTTCATTCTTCTGATCGTTGATTATTTTTCCCTTATCATTGTTTTCCTTTATGACTTCTGTCAGTTTTTTAATCACGGCAATTTTAAATTCTCTTTCTGGAAGGCTCAGAAGTTCTTCCAAGTTACTGTCGTTGCAATCTGGGGGCTGGTTTCTTTTTGTGGTGTGCTTTTTCTCTGGAGAGTTGCTAGGTTGCGTGTGGTTCTTCTCCTCCCTACTGTCTGTTTTCTAATTTGCCGTATGCGTTGGGACACTGTGTTGTTGGGACTGGCCGGCATCTTGGGTGGGCTTCTCTGCTCCCCTCTGGTTCCTCCAGGAGTCATCTGTCAGTTTCAAGCAGTCTTTATTGGAGAAAGGTCCCTGTCCTAAAATGCCGATGTGGGGACACACTCCCCTGTGCGCCTGGTCTGCCCCGGCGGTGGGTTCCTGCTCCTCCTCTGGGCTTGGACTGCAGGCCAGAGGGGGTCTGGCGTGGGCGAACTTCCCCTGCTCACCTCTGGCTCCTGAGGAAGCCTTGTGCAGGTAGTCTTTACTGAAGAAATGTCCCTGTTCTAAAATGGTGATGTGGGACACACTCCCTGCGCGTCCAGTCTCAGGCACACTCTTCTGCGCGCCTGGTCTGCCCCGGCTGTGGGTGCTCGCTCTCCCTGTGGGCTCAGACTACTTGTTCGGAAGGGGCCCGGCGTGGGCTAACTCCCCAGCTGGCCACTAGCTCCTTCAGGAGCCTGTGCTGGCTTCAAGTCGCTAGGTGGCGCCAGAGATCTCTCCTAGAGCCCTTGGGGAGCTGATTTTCCACCCCGTGGGACAGGGAGCAGAGCGGGGATGGTAGGGTACACCTCAACGGCTTTGGGGTGCTGTGTCTGCCTTGTGCCCCACCGTCGTGGGGAACCCACGCCCCTAATTTCGTGCCCCGGGTCTCAGTTCCAAAGCCCTCAGTTCCAGGACGCGGGCTGTAGCCCAGTTCAGTGGCGCGGGAATGGCGCCTTTTGCACCGCTCCCGTGCCTGGGCGCCTGGATCCTGCTCACTCAGGGAGGGACCTTCACCTCAGTGAGGACCTCCGCGCATCTCCCCGCAAGCCTAGGTCGTCTCCCAAGCCTAGGTCGCAGGCGCGGGGACCTGGGCAGCCGCGATCCCGGTCTGCACTTGCTTTTCAAGCGCGCGCGCGCCGCTTTCCCGCGCCAGCTTACCGGCAGCCGGGCTGTGTGCGCGTCTCCCGGGGTCTTTGTTCTTCTCTAATGGCGCCCGGAGCCGTTCGCTCACCGCCGCGGCGGATCCTGCAGGGTTCGCCTCAGCTCCCGTTCACGGGGTGTGGTGGCTGCAATAGTTCCTTTCCGCTCACAGTCCCGCTTGCTGCGTCGTTTGTTCTTGTGGGCCGTTTTGGTTTGTTGTTTTCCTCCTCTCTGCCGGTCGGAGAGTCTGCCTTTTCTTTCTTAATGGAATTTAGTCTTTGGGATTTTCTAATTTTAAGTTAGAGTATTATGAAGTGTACCTATGATAATAAACTTTTGGAGAATAGGAATTTTAAAACTGCAATTAAAATGTATAACTTAGTTATTGCTTACTATTGTAAAAGAGCAATCAAGCTTTGATTCAAAAGAATATCACTAAGTGTGAGGTAGGATTATAAAGCAGTGGGGCTTATTTACAAGCCTTGTAGGAAAATTGGTTTCATTATGGAGATACACATGTTGAACACAGGCAGTGGACATTGTTTTCCTCCCGACACTATACTTACAGACCATCTAGCTTGTACAAATTACAATAGCATTACCTTCACCAGCACCTCTGGCAAATCTGAGTGGATAGTAGTACACAGTAGATCTGGATATTAGCATATATACTACTCAAGAAATTCCTCATAGTTCATATATTTTTGCAGTCATTATTCCTCATAATGAGGATTTTCCTAGCGCCAATTATCATATTCTGGAATTCCTTTAAAATGTGTATTTCCTCTAGCTCATCACTAAGTAAGTGTTACACAAGTTTAAATGAAATACCTTGATCTCTAATGTCTAAAAAGGTACACCACGTGCTTTAGGTCCCTAAATTTCAGAGGATTCTGCAGGCAATGTAAATAAAGGTATTTTCTTCGTTTCTTGATTTTTGGTGAAGCAAGAGATTGCTGCTGCTATTTGTGCCATCCATGCTTTCTGTTTAAGAGAGGGGGAGAGAATGTTAAGCAAACAATTTCTCACATATTTGGATTAATATTTTCCATAGTATTTATAGATGTGCTCTTTAAAACTGAAAACTAATGCAGCATTTGCATACATTCCCCATTTTTTTAACTCTTAATATATCATAAATATCTCTAATCATATATGAAAATGAAAATGCATTAGAAGAGTATGGTGTGCAAGTTGGATAAACAGTCATGAGTAATCAAGGAACTGTAAGAGTCAATGATGACAAATTAGAAAAATGAGCATGGAGAATATAAATGGTTTGAGTTGAATTTCTACTCTATGGTAATTCTTAACCAGTGGTATAATTTGAAAAACAGACTGAGGAAGGTGACTGAAGAAATTGAATCCTTAAGAATAGGGCTGAATAGGAATTCAAGGCATGGTGCCAGATCCTCTGCCACTTACATCACTCAAGCTTCCAGCCTTTTAATTTGAACATCTGTCAAATGGTTCCATGAAAGTTGGTCTTAGGTCTTCTGGGCTCAGATCTATGCCCTAAACCTGATGTCAGGTTGTCTTTGCCTTAACACCCTGGATATTAATGACTATGCTTTATAATAAACAAAGAAGCCACCACTGGAAAAAAATAAAAATAAAAAGAATAGGGCAACATTGCATTTATTGTCTGGCCACGTTGTTGGTATGATGAAAGACAAATGTGAAAACTTCTAAGAGAAATCAGTGCCAGGTGGCTTCTCTACCACCCATGGCTGTATAAATAGTGGCATATTTTCAAAGGTTGAAGAGCAGGCTCGACATGGCTCATTATAGTAGCCTCTCACTTAAGTATGACATCATATTATTTGCATGGTGGCACCTAGGACGTTGATTGGAACATCTTAAAAGTCAATCATGCAATCCAAAGTAGTTCTTGCCCATTTCTTACAGAAACTGCAGAACTCAGAGGAGGCTCTTGAGCTTCTGCTGCAGGAGAAAATGTAGGGGACTGTATCTACTCCGTGTGTGAGGTATTCTTCCACTCTGAGGTATTCTTCTGCACATGGTAAGGACTGGATCCCTCCCTCCTCTCTTCCCAACTCTCCCCTTCCCAAAAGAGGGAACTATGCAAAGCTTTCCATTCACCATTACTTAAGAGGCAGGGGTGAAGTTTTTTAATGTCAGTTCTGAAGAATGAAAGGCTTATAAAATCAGAATACATACTTTAATGTTTTCCGTTTGGGCTTGTAATAAGAATGCTGCTATACACTGTCGATATCTGTTTTCATGTTGTATAAGGAAAGCATTTCTCAGTCCAAAGACTAGAAAAAAATTACAGAGACAAACAAAAACCAACTTTGTCATTTAACATGAAATCTGAACAATTTCTTAATACAAAAACCTGGATATTTTTTAGTGAAGTTGGAAGGTTTATGTATATTACAAGGAAAAAAAAAATCTTACTCCCAAACCCAGACTGCAGTATTCTGTCCAAATAGGATCACTGAAGTATGAAAACTCTTAGCTAAGACTTTAGGAGCTTGATGCAATGCAATCATGGTTTAAATGATGGAAAATAGGCTCTTCAGAGTAGAAACTTAGCATATTAGTTGGGCTTTGTGTAAAATATAGATAACAAAATACTGAAAACAAAGTAATTATTGCTTTTTCTCTAAAAATAAAATTTATTTTTGAATGTAAGGGGAAGTCACATCAAAACAGGAATTATAAACCAGTAAAGATAAGATGTGGCAAAAATACAAACCACCTGAATGCTTTAAGCAGGCCAAGAAAAGCCAAAAAGTTGACTCACATAAATAAAAAAATTCACCAAATTATGTGAAATATGTAGCAAATCAAACTGTAAAGAAATGTTGGCAGAGTTTCTCTGCTTGCAAAAGAAAGTCTATTCTGTCACTTTGTAGCTGGTCTCTATATAGCAGAAGTTTCTAAAGTGGAGTTTCTTCCTTGAATTATTAATACAACATAGGAAATAAAATTCTGCAGCCTATAGATTCTTTCTACTGTTGATTTTATGTTTAGGAGCAAACAAGCAAAAATAAACCAGGGTAGTCTCCTCACCATATCAAATACTTCAGAGAGGAGAAGAATGGCAACTTGTATTCTTGGCTTATCATTGAGTTGATGCTTGTCCACTCTCATTATTTCTGTTCTTTGAAGTTTATGGGTTTAACTCAAGACTCACTGAGGCAGGCTGGGCCTCATTTTGAGAATCAAAGTGTATGTGAGACTTTTATTTTGTTAACTGCAATGATTATTCCAACATCACAGGTTATATTCTTAACAGTCCTTCGACCTCATAATTTCTAAATTCTATAACAAATAACATCTGTTAAGGTCATGAAGTTCTGTCCAGATTCTCTGGAGTAAAAGGACTTAAACCAATTAAAAAATGACTTTGTGGGGGGGAAACTCTGCTTGTGTTTGTTTTACTCCCTGATTTTTTTTATAAATAAATTCCCTGTAGCAAGTGAGGCTTAAAAAATCAGGCTGTTGTTCTTGGCTGGGGTTTGGAATCCCTTTTCCTGAAAAATTGTTAACTCTTGTTTTCAGTTATTCAGGCATCTTTCATTGACTTGGTTTATAATATGAATCAAGGGATGTTACAGCTAAAAGGAAGTATTAGTAAGGAGATAATAAATGGTCAGGAGCAGCTCTAAAATAATTAACATGGTAATAATTGACACCATTTATGAAACACTATGTACTGAACACTGTACAATGATTTTCTTTTTCACCCTTTGCTCTTTGTCACACTGTAGCTAGTCTGCCTCATTCTTTGCATCTGAACAGTCAAAATAATAGACTGGAGGAATAAGAAAAATACAAAAACCCAGAAAGGAGATGGTAGTGACACATCAGAAGGTGATCAATATGCTAGAAATATAGTTTGCAAAGCACTTTTATTTAAAAGCATAGAAGGGAATATAAGAGAAAAACATGCGTCTCCCAAGGTAATGCACTGACATCAGATTTCCCATGAGTCCTTATCACTGGCAGGGCTGTGCTAACCTGAGGCCACAGCCCAAGCTGCTTCCACTCTTCCCCATGCATGTTCTGACAGCTTCCTCCCTCAAGTCCACTTACTGCGTCAGTGTCATTTCACCATGACCTCAGAAGTGAGAGGAGAAATTCCTGGCCTAGGATGCCCTCTGCATGACATTTCTCTTCATGAAAAGATAAACTAAACAAAGGAAGTGATTTCTAGCCTTATATGGGAAGCCTCGCTGTGTCTACCTGATGCCATCCGCAGAGCCAGGGGAGCTCTCCCTGATGGGGTACACTCATAGGCAAACGTTTTGCACCCCCAAGGTGCCCCTTTTGTAGGTTTGCTCTAGAAATCCTCTCTTGACTTATGCAGACTTTGCCTATATGGGCCTTGCCTGGTCCAGTCAAAGTAGATACAAAGAAGCCTATAGCTTGTCCAGGTCACTTCTGGGTGCAGTTTTTCTGTTGGTGGAGACTTTCTGCTTCCATTCACGAGTTAACATATATAAAACCTTTAAATAGACAATGTGAATACATAACATAACTGTAATTATTTGCTGTTGTTCATGTTTGTTTCTTCATGTATTCACTGAGGGTCACGCAACTGTGATAGGGCCATCCCTGCCCGTCACTGGAGCTCTGGACTTGGCTGCTGGGTTGTGAGTTGAAGGCAGCGGGAAGTGCACCCTCTCTCTTCCTGCTCCTCTGATGGGGCAGGAAGGCAATTCCCTGAGGCCTCGCTTCTGAAGGCCTCCTGTGAGCCCATACCTCAGGCAGAAGGGCCATCTGCTTCCTCCTGCACGCTGCTGCCACCCACCCAGAATGTCCTTCCAGTCCCTCAGAGCCCCAGGACGTTCCTGACAGAGGACTGACTGACAATTCAGTTCCCAGAGAGCAAGACTTTGTGTCTCCAGGACACTCAGAGTGCCTGTATCTCAGGGAACACTTAGGAAATACTTGAATAGAAGAATGAAATGAAAGCTATTTCTGCCCTCTGCACATGATAAATACATAAAACGGAATTTATATATTTATATATGTAATATGTATATTTCTGGCATATATCTTTCTATAGAGTGTAGTAAAACATCTTAGGCCTGAACAGCACATCTGATGTGCCTGTGCTTGAACAGTAGCAGCAGTACTACTTCTAATAACTGTTCATTATTTTATTTCATTCTTGTGACAGCCCAGTGAGATACTATTATCCCTATTTTAGCAAGAGGAATCGTTGCTTAGAAAATTTGTTGCTTAGAAAATTTAAGTGTGTCACTTATGCACATAGCAAGCGGCAGAGCTGATCACCCAGTCGCTGGAAGCCAAGTTGAACACTCTCTTTGTAACTAATTGGTAGAATGAGCAATATACAGACACAAAGGAACCCAGTATTGCTTTTTATGAAGATGTAAATTGGATTCATGTCCTGTTAACAAAAAAAGCCAACATCGAACTGTGAAATGACAAACAGATAACCTGAATGATGGAAGTGGACACATACCTGACACGTGGAGGGGATCAATACTTCTGACCAGCACTCTGTCCAGAGGGATGGGCTGATCGAGCACTGTGCATGAACCGCCCTCTTTTATTATTGTTTGCAACTCAGGAGTAAGTGAAGGGCATATTAAACCAGGGTCTGAGCCTCCAGGTTTCTGAAATTAAAGGGGACAATAAGGCAGTAAATAGAAAATCAGTGTTGGTGTGCATCCCTGAAGTATGTTAAAGTATGTACACACTTGAAGCAAATTGATTTCTAGAAATAATTGGTTAAAATCCATCCTACTATTCTTTATGGATTGATTTATTTTTTGTTGCGGCAATACCGATTTACAACATGATATGATTTAGACATATAGTTTCACACCTCTCCAGATGGAGGCTGCCATCCATTCTTTATGGATTTTGAAAAGCATTTCCTCTAAGTACATCATGATTTATAGTGCTTCTGATTCTCAGGTTTAGATATCTGACTAAATAATGGTGATGTCCATAATAGGAAACATTTTAATCACCATCATATCAATGGGAAGTTCTTCATTTCTAGTATCTCTCTAAATACAGAAAGGGGAGCCTCATTTTAGCCAGCTTAGTCCATTGGATCTAATATTAACTAAGTAGATAATTTAGTAATTTGTACATATAATTAAAATTGCTTGAAATATATAGGATGCTGGGGTTTTTTTTTACACAAGAGTGCGAAAGAATGTGATTTGCATGACCTATATTGTACATTTAATAGCAAAGTGAAACTAAAATTGTAAAATATCTTGATTCTAAGTATTTTGTATTTTACAATGAAGTTGTGAAGCATGAAAGCAGAATATTACCCTCTATATAGTTGATATAAGCTGCCATTAATTCATATATTTTATTTGAGCCATTATTTGATGTTAGATAGGCTGTGCTAAGCATCAAGGTTTTTGAAGGGGCTGGAGATTTTTTCAGGCTTGACTTGTTCAGACATTTTAGTCTGGATACCTTTAAATAGGAAGTCACACAAATCTCAAAAATGGTGACTCAGTATTCTGCAGTACCTACTCCTTTCTCAATCACCAATCAATTATTCAAAGATTGACTAATGGGAACTTCAAGATCCTTAAATTATTTAGCTCAACTAACCAACATGCCATATAGAAGCTTCAATTATTACAAGATAGGTGATACCCAGTCTCAGGATCTCATATCTGTGGAAGGCTAGTAAAGAAGTGAATGGAATGAAACAGCATTAGGTATGTCTGCTGGCTTAAGACACATTGCAGCCCTTCCTTCCACCCCTAAGGGCAGGTATCCTACAGCCTTGGAGGTGACCGCCTTCCTGAGACCACTCACACACACCATTCAGGAGACAGAGGAGGGAAGAAGGAGAGATTAGATACAAAGTCTTTAGTGGACATAGACCCAAGGCCCATTGGGTGGTAATAACAGTAATGGAAGCCATGCCACTCAGGTCATGGGAAAACTCCCTCTTCTCAGAGGGATTTGGTGGCTTTAGCCTCTAAGTGACTTATTTTGTCTGGGACAGCAGTTGTACGTTTGTTTGGGTTGTGCAGTTTTATAGATAGGTAGGCACTGAGAGTCTGGGGCTCCCTCCATCCCGGCCTTCGAATCATTTCTCATACGGGGCATGGATACTGCCTGGGCATGTGGTCATAGACAGTTTAGAGAGGATCCTTACCAGGGCAGCTTTTGTGACAGTGGACAATTTGAGAGAGAAAAGGACCGATGCACACAGATTATTTTGGTTTTGTTTATTTCGGCAGGTCAGGCTTAAAGCCCTGTGGCTTCTGGAAGATACCTTGAAAACACACAGACTAAGTTATTCTGAAAATCCTCCCTTCCTTTGAGATCCTTAAGGACTGTCTTGCCCTTGTGGTTTCTCAGTGCAGAAAGAGATGACTAAGAGCCATCATTTCATTATGTCTACATTTTCAGAGGTGACATACAAGTTGATGTTAAAAATCTTTAACATTTTTAACAACCTATTTGGAATATTTCTAAACTTATTTAGAAATAGCAGCATGTTACCTTCTTGTTGCGCTTGGTTTTTGTAACTAAGAGGAAATCATCAAAGAGGAACAGATAAACATCTAGGAATCTTGTGTTTTCTGAGGAAAGAAAGAAGGTGAAATTGGAACTGGCAAGAGTAAGCAGAAATTATTATTATTATTTTTTTTTTAGAAATCATTTTTTAAGCCAAAGAGTTCCTAGACTTTATTCTCAGCAAGGATAAGTATTCTAGCTACCGTTCACTGAGGGCCAAGTTTTCCACTGAGCAGTCAATATTGGCCACCAACTATGCATCAGTGATTAAGTTATAATCTCTGCCTTCAAGTAGTTTTAATTCTGGTGAAAACAGACACACAATAAACTTGTAAACAACCTGTAAAATGGGTAAATTCAGGAACTGACTGTTACAAGGTAAGTATGGCAATATGAAGGAAAATGACTCAAAAGGACAAATGTGAGCCCAAAGTCAGTCCTTTCCCATGTATTGCTGCAGGCATTTGAAGGTATCACAGTCCAGTAAAATAACTAGTACCAAATAATTTCATTAGACTTAACTAATCATCACTGTGAAATGGAAATTCTGCTTAGTAAGTGTTCCACAACCACATCCGAGACTTACACATTTTTGCAACTCTAAACTAGGCCTTTATTTTTTTCTCAGAGTCTGGATGATAGTGTCTCATTCCTCTGTTAGAGGATGGGGCAGCATTGCTAACTATTTAAATACAGTTCTGCAGCAATTTAAACAACACGTATTCTTTAGGTGCTTCAGCTGTTTGACCATTATATTTGTCTATTAGACAAATATTTTCTAGCTAGAAATACCAGTCTTTGGGGTGCCTCCCTGGTGGTGCAAGGGGTTAAGACTCAGCACTGTGAAGCTATCAGCAGCCACTGCAGCATGAGTTCGATCCCTGGCCAGGGAGCTACCCACATGGCGCAGCAGACCTCTCCTGTCTATCCTGCTGCTCCCCTCAGCTGGGTATTTCAGAAGATTCACCTGTTCTGCTCCCCACTCTGTCTCTGGTGAATCCTCTCACACACACACACCCCCAACACCTCTGGCCTGCAACCCAGCTCTTGTACATATAAATAAATCTTTTTTAAAAAAAGAAAGACCAATCTTTGGGGAGAGATGCATTAGTGAAGGGTATGCCAACATGAAATATAATATATAATGGGAAATTGGTTATGCTCCAAAAATTATGACGACTTGCATATTTTGGGAATGAGAAAGTATACTTATTTGGTTCCAATACCAGTTTTTAAGGTTGGAAGAAATTTTGAAATACAACATATTAGTGTTAAGTATCATCGTCATCCACCAACAACATTTACAGAAGAGAGTAGGGAATTTAAACAATTTTGCTAATGATTATTATTGGTGCTGGATCCCTGATTCTCAATCCAAAGCTTTTTCTATTCAATATGATGTCTCGCTAATTCTAACACTGTACCCTATCCCATCTCTCTGCCAATTCTAAGTCAGAGTCCCAGTGACTTCGATTTGTTTTGATATTATTATGTGGTGCTTCCATCTGATGGAATTTGACTAGCACCGTGTGCAAGTGCCTGATGTTAGTGACACTTACATTGGGTCATCCACACTCTACCACATTCCAGTCTACTAGAAATATTTTCTGGAAAATGGGTTTGAACTGTAAAGTGACATTCTTCAGTGAGTCTCCCACCTGTGCTTCCTTCCAAGAACCCTGATTCTACGTGACGTGTGAACGCATATCTGACAACACTGTTCATGGAGAGAAGGTCCTTGTCTTCATCTGTAACTGGTGGTTAAAGGCAAAGACTGTTACTGGTGGTGCCCCCTGGAAGGGGGTGCTGATGACGATGGATAAGCCCAGGGAAAATGCAAACAAATTATTGCATTTGGGGTGGAGACTCTGATAAGAAATAAAAGCAACTGCAGCAGCAGCCCCCAGCATGCAGTGTTCGGGATTCAGCGATCGACCATTCAGCTTTTGGGATTTCAGGATTTTCAGATTATCAGCGATTTTTGCCCCTACCATACTAATCTTCCAGAAGGCTGTTGTGGGCCTCTGAAGGACATGGCGAGGCCTCCAGTAGCCAGTCTCAGAGAGGAAAAGTTCAGAGGTTTTGCAAGCAGCTGAACGACTGAAACTGTTCCCAGTTTTGCTACTGTTACAGGCAGCAAGGAAGGTGAAGACCTGCAGCTGGTGCCTCGCTGAGCTGGTGAGTGTAGCTGTTTGTCCGGTCGTTTGGCTGCTGCAGCTGCTGTTTTGCATGTCACTTGTCTGGTGCTGTGCTGGGGCATCTTGGCAGCTCTGGTGAGCCTCTCCTATTGTGTCTCCTGCTGTCTTCATTAGTTGGAACCCGCCTATAGTCTGGCTGCCACATGCTCCAGGTTGACAGTGGCAGAAAAATGCCATCTTGAGAGAGTGACCTGCATCCTCAGTGGCAGGAAGATGCCATCTTGGGTGTGTTTGTGTTTAGGACTTTGAAACACTGGACACTGCTTCAGGCGAGGTAAACAGCCATTTTTGGCCTCAGCAACTCTTTCTTTTCCCCCTTTTTTGTTAAAGAAATCCCAATATTGTTCTCTGAACCTGAGTAGTCTTGCAATTGTACAAATGGGTGAAGAACTCAGATGGTGTCCCAGTAAACTATTTGGGCAGTGTCACTGGCCATTTTTAGTGCCCTGGCTGCCCTGTATCACTATCACATCCAGCTTCCACAGGGTCTCTCATCCTTTTCACTCCTGAACTCTAAAACTGACTCCCTCACCCTCTTCTTTTGCCACCCTCAGTGTTATCAACCAACCTTTCAAGCACATACATGAGAACACTTGATGCCATCTTCAACTCACTTCTTCTTCATCCATTTTATCAGTCACAGAGCCCTCCTGTTTTCCCTTTGAAATAGCTCTCACATTAATCCTTTTCCTTCCATCCCTGTCTAACACTTTAGGATATGTCAGTGTATCTCATAAGCTGGGGAGTTGGTAGATAGAGGGTAGGAGTGAATGAATCAAAATCTTGCTAATTCCAGGTGAGGTGATATTAGAGGGAAAGACACAATACCAGGCTGTATTTTCCTTCATCACTTTGATTTCACTTTGTTACAATCATCATTATTTTGAAATCGTAAATGACATCAAATAAAAATTTTGTTATCTTTCTAAATGAAAGTGGGAGGAGGGTAGTCTATAGTTTGAGAGTGGTTGAGAAACAGGCCAAGCTCTTCCCCTGCCAGGTGGGGAGGTTGCTGTCATGGCCCGAGATCACACAGTGGAACAGGCAGAGCCAGAAGTGTCCCTGGCAGCCAGTCTCCTGACCACATTGCTAGAGCCTGTCCTCTCAGGGGCTTCTGCCTCCAAGCCTCTCCTCCTGCTGTGCTCTTCATGCAGGATGCTCTGCCTCCTGGCCTTCCACTGACCTCCATCCACCCTTTCTAGCCTCCCAAGTCCATCTCCAGTCCTGGGGGCTGTGTCTGAACTTATACTGCAATTCTGCTCACTGGTAGGGCCTCTGAACTACAGGGAAGGGCTCAGACAGAAGCATGTTCTATCCTTAACAGATGCTGCCTAGGACCACATGTGTCACGTAAACATGTTCCCTGTATGGCTGCTCGGCTCGTTGAGGAGTAACATGATGATAATAGCTACCATTGTGTGTCCACTATACTCCAGACCTTGAGTTAACTATCGATGTATGTCATTTAATTTTAACAACTTATGTGATAGATATAATTACCCATTTACAGAGAGAAAATGGAGCGCAGTACAAGTTACAGTGTGAATTATTTTACCAGGCATAATTTTTTAACTCCAAGCTCTTTGATTTACATCTTTTGGTGCTTTGCTTATAGGCAAATACAATATCTTCCACCCATCAACTAGCAGCAATGGGACAGCTTTACAGAGCAGTAAAGCTATTGGTTCTATTACTATTATTAATATTGAGGTAACTTTAACTTACAGTACTGTATATGATTTAGGAGTACAAGTTTACACCTCTTCAAGTGTATGTTGTCACACACATATGCCCACCACCCAAGTGACAATGACCTTATCACCATTCAGTGGAGCCCCTCCCCCACCCGTTGGCTGCCACCCTCAGCACCCAAGATGTTGAATTTTTAAAAGAAGCAGTTATTTACCTGCGAGAGTTAATTTTCCCTCATAGAGAAGGTGTCTGTTGGTTGGTGACAAGATATTTTCTGCCGTGTGTTCTTTAAAAATGTGTTTCAGGCCCTTTCAAAACAGGGTTGAAAATCAAAGAGATGTTCTTAGTCATTTGAACAGAACATGTTCCAGGAGCTGGGCTAATACACACCATCTAGAAAGTGTGTGACATCGTGAGTAGGTGGACCCGGGAGTGAGGAAGGATAGGAGAACTTCTCAGAGGCAACCCCCTGAGAATGCACGGGGATGTCAGCCTCCCACACAAAATGCCACATTTCTTCAAGGTTTTACTTCTTGCTTATAAAAATAGATTAATTATTCAAGTGGGCAGCTGATGTATTATAGGGCTGATGTATTTCCACCTGAACACCAAAGATTTAGAAAGGGGCAGAAATGTACCTCTGGGATGAAAAACCTTTTATCTCTGTCCCAAAGTGGAGGCCACACTATAATCTCCTGTAGATGTCTACATTTTTGGAAATTGTCAAGCCACTTCACCTTTCCTTCAAGATCCCCTGAAAGACAAGATACACCGAAAACATATTTAGATGCATGTGACATTACAGCATAAATTTTAACCAAGATCTACAGAAATCATTTAGAGACATTGATTGCCTGGGAGCCAAACCATGCTCTTAGGTTCATTTAACATATTGCTTGCTGTTTAAATGTCTTAGAAAAACTCACTCATTTGAAGTCAGCCTTTTGCAGAGAAAAATGAAGCTTAAATTACTCAGTAAATTGTAAATGTATGGTGCATTTTTTATTTCAATAACATTAATAAAGTCCTTGATAGCCTTATTTTTTACACCACACAGCTTATAATTAGAGGAAGGAAAAAAAAAAGCATATGAATGAGGATAAATGTATCTTTTTGTCCTAATCATAAGGGCTTTATGAAAGGGCTTCGTGGTGAGGATGATTATTTCTTTCTGGTAGGGACACTTTTTCTCTTTTGAAGACTTGCATTAATCTTCCATTATTTTTAATAGCATATTGCTATGGAGATTTTGAAGTGATTTTTGGAAACAAGACGGGCAAGTCATTGATGCAGAAGATCACACAGTTAGTGGAATCCTTGAGGACCTATCATCGCTAATTCCATAGACTTAAAAGCAGGCCACAGGAATCTCTGCCTCAAAATGAAAAATCCACTTTCCATTTCTCCTTCAGGGTGGAAGGACGTCCCTGCGGAGGAGAATAACCACCATGAGTTCCAGTGCTTTGTCCAAACCTCAGATGCGAGGCCTTCTGGCCAAGCGTCTTCGAGTTCATATTGTTGGAGCATTTGTTGTATCCCTGGGAGTTGCAGCTCTCTATAAGTTTGCTGTGGCTGAACCAAGAAAGAAGGCATATGCGGATTTCTACAGAAATTATGATTCCATGAAAGATTTTGAGGAGATGAGGAAGGCTGGGATCTTTCAGAGTGCAAAGTGATCTTGAACCATAAAGGATTTCTTTGGCTTGATTTCCATGGAAGTTTGTCACTGACATGTGCTCCTGAACTATGAAACAAGAATATGTGGGTAAAGGAATAATTTCTCTTGATAAATAAATACTGTGGACAAAAAAAAAAAAAAAAAAAAAAATGAAAAATCCATATTTTACTGAGAAATCTCCAAAAGAGAAGCTGTTATCATCCTTATCTGCCTATCAAAATAATAATAATCTTCAAAATTACTTTTTCAGTTAATTTTTTAAAAAGCATGTCTTTCTAAATTGAATTTTTCTCTAACTCACTTGATAAACATAATTCCAATTCCTTGGGTCCTTTTAAAATTTGAACCAGGGGGCCTCCCTGGTGGCACAAGGGGTTGGACACCGCATTATGGAGCAGTCTGCAGCCTCTGCACCTTGAGTTCGATCCCTGGCCAGCCAGGGAGCAGCCCACATGGCGCAGCAGACCTCTTCTGTCTCGCCTGCTGCTCCCCTCAACAGTGTGTTTCGGTCAGTCTGCCTGTTCTGTTTCCTGCTCTCTCTCTGGTGAATCCTCTCACCCCCCTCATCTGTGGCCTGTGGCCCAGCTCTTGTATACATAAATAAATCAATCTTTAAAAAAATAAAATTAAATTAAACCAGGGCCACCCTGGTGGCGCACAGGTTAAAGACAGTGCTATCAAGCTATCACTGGCCATTGCAGCATGAGCTCGATCCTGGCCAGCCAGGGAGCAACCCACATGGCACAGCAGACCTCTCCTATCTCGCCTGCTACTCCCCCTCAGCAGTGTATTTCACTAGATCTGCCTGTTCTGCTCCCCACTCTGTCTCGGGTGAATCCTCTCACCCCCACACCTCTGCCTTATACCCCAGTTCTTGTATGCATAAATAAATAAATCTTTAAAAAAAATTTGAACCAAAAAATGACAAAGAGGAAAGAAACTCCCAGTTGAATGGTCAGTTTACTTTTAAGCTTGTGAAAGAAAAAAGATAGATTTCTGTACAGTTGGCCATCATCAATTTGGATTGTCCTCTTTGATGCTTCCCCAGGAAATCTTGGTTTACAGGCATAGATCATGTCTTCTGTATTTGAATTTAGTTATATAGAACTCCATAAATCAACTTCAGTCATCATAGGGCTTGCTCTGCACCCAATCTCAAATTTTGGTTCTAAAGATGTTGGCATTATTTTTAGATTGGCCCTGGATTTCAGTGACCTAAAAAAAAATGATGAATGGTAATTTATCCTCCGGAAGGACTTCCCGTGGTGTTTACTCCCACTTGCTTTGTGTGTGGGTTCAGTATGGATGTTAAAACAAAGTGCCTTCAATCATCTGGGAAGTAGGACTTTTCCTGCCTGAACTCACTTCTGAAAGCCTTCAAGACAGAGCCATGTCCTGAGTAAACTTAGTGCTAAGGTCTCAAGGGTTTGCCAGGATGTGACTGGAGCCCATTGTTTTGGGTGTTTGATTTACAATGCGCACAAACTCGAATCCACGTTTCCAAGAGCCATGACCTCAAGTCAATGGAATGACCTTCTAGAATGGAAGCCCAGATGGTTCCCAGGAGCTATACTCCTCCCCACCCCCCCAACTCTTTGATTAAGCTTGGCCTGAGCTCTGCATTATTCATCCCAGGGACTTACGAATTGACTTTTCCACCTTGTCCTTGAGGGAGTAGATCATGATTTTCTCCGTGGAATCTGTACTCCTTTTCCAGATATTCTTCAGCAACAAGGGATATCGAGTCAACCGGTGTAATGGGGCCACTAATAGCTCAGGCAGGTGAAGCCGTTTGCACTGTTCATTTTGTTCACACCACTGGGGAAGTCAAAAGCAGACATATCAGAACATCCTTTGGCCACTCAAACGCTGAGAAGTTGGATTATGAGAAGCCCTCAGTGATTTTACTCTTATCAATCACATGATGCACCTGTGACCTTGCTGAGAAAAGTCATAAACCACAGATTAGACTTTGATTTTGAAAGCTCCATATTAAAAGACCTTTTCCACTTTCCCACATGCAGCCAGAGCGTGGTGGGTGGAGCACTATGATGCAGGTTTCAGGGCTTGTTGAGATCCCTTCTCTATACTCAGATGCCTTTCTGTAAAATGGCGGAAGGTACTAAATGACCTCTAAGTTCTCATCCACCTCAAAATAATTGTGATTCTTATTGGGGGTTGGAAGGGATAGAGAAGGAAGCAGGGACAAAGGTGTGGAAAGGCTAGAAGTGGTAATGAGTGGAAGGGAGAGGTGTGGAGAGGCCATAGTCAGTGGTCTTGGTGGCAGCAGCCTCTCCATTGGAGTGTCTGGGGAGCTCCAGTAACCGAGATCTCAGCACCAACTGGTATAGGGTAAATGTGGAAACACCCGGTATCAATCAGACAAGAAGCACAGTGCTAAACAATTTAGACCGAGATCTAGGCAGGGATTTTGGAAGGTTTTAATAAAATATCAGAGGACCTTAGAAGAGAGAAAAGATAACTAACCATTCTAAAAGTAGCTAGAAGTTTTTCATTCCTCTGTCTATTTGCTTCACTTTTCAGGTCCATTAGGGTAGAAATGAACATCTTTCAGGAGAGGTCAGACATCAAAGGATTTTTCATGCATGGGTCTAGATCAGTGGGAGAGACTTTGGTTTTATAAAAAAAAAATAGTAAATGTGTTTAGGGGAACAGTGAAAAGAATTCAAAGTTTCAAATAAAAAAAGACATTCTCCTTATACATCTGTCTTGGTGGGAAAAAACCTTGGGCTGGGACAACATTCTTAGACTCTTGGGAAATTTCCTGAAGCCCACTACACCTCATGTGTGAAATGTAGATAACAAGAGTGACTAACTCATCAGGTTGGCAAGAGGTTTTAAGGAGGAGAATGAGTGTTGGCTTCAGACAGGTCTGAATTCCAATCCTGCCTCTTTTGGAAAGTTGCCTGATTTGTGTAAGCCGCTGACAAAGTGGAAAACTTCAGATCTCACAAGATGAGCGTGCAGACAAAGAGACGGCAGGTTTTGAGTACGCAGTACAGAGCAGGCTGTCAGGAGCAAGGGCTGGAGAACCTTTATGATCTGTGGGGCATTTTCTGCCAAAACCTCTCTTTGACTCTTGTTTCAGGAAGCTAACCATTCCCTGACAATGGAAACTAGCACTGAGGAGGTGAACATAGTTCTGATGTGAAAGCATTGTTTTTTTTTTTTTTTTAAAGATTCATCTATTTATGCATACAAGAACTGTGTTACAGGCCAGAGGTGTGGGGGGTAGGAGGATTCACCAGAGACAGAGTGGGGAACAGAACAGGCAGATTGACTGAAATACACTGCTGAGGGGAGCAGCAGGCGAGTCAGGAGAGGTCTGCTGCACCGTGTGGGTAGCACCCTGGCCGGGGTTCGAACTCGAGTTGCAGTGGCTGAGGACAGCTTCATAGGTTGTGTCTCAACCCCTTGTGCCACCAGACAGGCCCTGGGTTTTGTTTTTTTGCCCTAAAACTTTTATCTATGTTCTTCCCTTTCCACCTATTGATTATGTGACCTTGCAAAAGTCACTTAACCTCTCTGAGGCTCTGGGACACATGTGACCAATGTTATCAACCTCATAGGTTTGTGCTGAGAATAGATGTTTGAGAGAGTTCCTAGTAAAGCATTGTGCATGATAAACATCTCATCTGTTATCTTTACAACATTTCATTCTCTACTCCTTCTCCCTAAATACCTTTGGATTGATCTGTCTGTGTATGTACGAGTATCATCTTGTATACAAATATAGACAACCCTTCTATATTACCGTTGATGTGGGATTTTCCCATTGTTTGAAAATGGTGGCTAAGCTTTGTCAAAGTCATCAAGCCCTACCTTGGAAGAGAGTAAAATGGATCTGGATTCTCCCCAGTTTGGAGGCCAGGCTAGGAGTCTAATCTATCTTTTCAAAGAAAACTTCAGCAACATGATTATTCATATATTTGGAAATCTAATGAGCTTTCCAGCTTTAGTTTGAGTCAAGAAAACACCAAAAGGTGAAGTTATAAAAATAGGACTAAGGCTCTTTCCCAAGATCATTCATCCTTTCTCATCCACACCACACCCAGGTTTCCTGGCACATTTGGGCCAGGACACAAGTAGGTTGATTCACAGCTGAGTTGCTGGGAACTCTGACAGCCCTTCCTCCCGCACCTCTGAGCTGATGCCCTTGTAGGGACTTCTTGCAGATGCAGAAACAGCTAGTTTTCTGGAAAGGTTGGGTCATTTTCTCTGGATTTTACTTAAGGGTTCAGGCAAATATTGAAAAGTTACAGTTTAGACTAGGGAAATGTCAAAGGAGGGCTTGAATGTCAAGGGCAGTAATTTGCAGGTTTGCTTATTAGCAAATGCTGAGGGCACCTTGCAGGAATTTTCTAAGACTTTGAGATCCACAGTCACCACGTTGTTCAATGCCACGGATGCCCTTTTACTTTATGATCTATGATATACTCTAGGGAGCACCATTCAATGTAAATGGTGCTCCTCGCTTGTGTGCAATAGAGTTTGCTAGGATCAAGTTCTTGAAGAGCCAAACTTCTAGTTATAAACAGAGCTTTGTTTCTTATTCTGGTTTTCTCCTTACCACATACTAATTTTTTCCACAAACAGACCAATGAACAAATAAAAGATTTTCAAGCTCCAACTATAGTTTTAAGAGGGATAGAAGGTGAGATATATCCAGATGTGCACCATTTAAAATTCCTCAGTGGACAGTGCATGATGTATTTAGGAGGACAGCATATTTGTATTTAAAATGGACTCATGATAATTTATATTTCCCCTTTCTTATTTAATTTGGGTATAAATTTTCTCCTGTTATCCAAAAGTAGAACATTCCTATGAAGTCTTTCCTAAATGGAAATGGGTATAAAGAAGAAATTACCATTAATTTGCATGAAAAATTTCCGGCCACCAAACTAACCTATTACATCATACTAATAGGTGGTAAAAGCAGGAATGATGACATAAATTCACAGCCTGTATAAAGTAACTCTTAGGGAAGGTTAGCTCAGGGTGTTCGCTGCTTCTAGAACAGCTGCTGCAAAACATATAATGAAAGCTATTTTCACTTAAATTGTCCGATTTGGATTTCTCTGGTTAATGAAAATAGATATTAGCATAGATCTTTCATAAAGGTGAATGGTATAATATGACTTTTGAAAAGCAGAGAATTACATGCTCCTGCTATACCCAAAGAATCCCAGGAAAGACATGAAAGAAAATGATACTTCACTTTTAAATAAATTCCAAAGTCATCTCTCTGCCTCAGGCTCTCCAGATAAAAGACAGCAGCTGAGTAATTCAGGCAGTAGGTCTGGTGGCTCTGACAGAGGCTCCCTCGGAAATACTGCAAAGGGATAGCAAGGGGAAAATCAACAGAAGTGCAGAGAAAACTGACCCTAGACAGCCTTCCCTTTCCTCTTGATTTTATCATTAACCAGAAATGGGAAAATTGGAGAATCTAATATTATCAAGTATGAGCTATGGATCAATAGAAACAGATAATCTTCACAATAAATATTCTTTTTAAAAAATATGGTGGGCCTCCCTGATGGAGCAAAGGGTTGAGCGCAGCACTGTGAGGAAATCTGGGGTCTCTGCAGCTCGAGTTCGATCCCCGGCTGGCCAGGGAGCAACCCACATGGCGCAGCAGACCTCTCCTGACTCGCCCACTGCTCCCCTCAGCAGTATACTTTGGTCAACCTGCTGGTTCTCTTCCCCACTCTGTCACTGGTGAATCCTCTCACACCCCCGCATCTCTGGCCTGTACCCCAGCTCTTGTATGAATAAATAAATTAATTAATTAAAAAAAATAAAAAATATGGCATTTTATCAGATAGTATCACTTATATATGGAATATAGATAAATGGTTTTTTGGCTTTTTTTAAGCATACTTATTTTATTTATTTTTTTTTATATTCCCCATACAATTGCACCCCCCTTATTTTGACCCTAATCCCTCCTTTCCCCGCCTCCTCCCCCCATAGTGTGTCTCTGGTTCATTGTTTGTTGATTTTGATTTTTTCTTTCTTATAGTTATTCCTGGTCCCTTATTTAGGTTTTCTAGATTCCGGCTATGAGTGAGACCATCCGGTATTTTTCTTTTTCTTTCTGGCTTATTTTGCTGAGCATGATCCCTTCCAGCGCCATCCATGTTGCTGCAAGTTGCATGTGTTTATCTTTTTTGATTGCTGAGTAATGGAATATAGATAAATGAAACCAAACTAATAACAAACCCTAGAAATCTCAGCACAAAATGGGCCCAGTGGATGATCGTGGAGGACTGTGGGTGCCTTGGTTATGGGTATGGTGTGGTAACATACACCTGAGGCCTGTGATCCTGTATTTACAGTGCAATAAGCCAATGTTACCGCAATTAAAAAAAAAAGTAGTATTTTAACAATAAAAATAATAACCCCTTGAGTTAGCCCCTCAATAAATCACCTTCCCCATACTTAAAAATAACTCAATTTAGGACATCTTGATTTAATTCATCCTTTACTTCTGTATATACTTTGTTGAGGTCCATATTTCCTGCATAAAGCCTAGTGACAAATATTGCTCTTGATTTCTGAACTCATGTTGGTTGTTGTTAAGTCTGTGTTGGTGGTGGAGAAAGAGGACTCAGCCTAAGAAGCCACTAAAGGAAGTAACAATTGTCAAGGAAAATGAAAACCAAAAAAACTATTTCATTATAGGATCTCAGAGGACGAAATACTATGGGGAGAAATGTCAAATTTTGACATTTATCATTAAAATAATTTGGAAAGTGTTGTGTTTATTTCTGAGGGTTGGTGATATTGCAGATAATAGGGGAGAAAGGAGGACTTGGAGGTAAAGGGAGGATCCTCTTACAGGCTCCAAGACTATGAGAGGCTCATTACTAGGAGGCAAGTTTTTTTTTTAAATTTTCTTTATTTTTTAATTAATTAACATATATTTTACATCGTTGTTCATTTTTGTATAATGTTTGCTTTCTCCTCTCAGGTGTAGTTCCCATAAAATACCCACCACTAATTCACCTATGCACCATCACCATTGTTTTGAGGAGGCAATTTGAAGTCCATAAATGGTCAGGTTTAGAAACCCAGTTTTCCAACCTATTAGCTATGTGACGTTGGTCAAATTCTTTAACATCTTCAAGTCTGTTTCTTTTTCCTTGTCTTGCTCAGATGGCTCCCAAGTAAATACCATGGACCCCAACTTCCAATTGGTGAACCTCTTGTGAGATGGTATGTTCAACTATTACTGCTCATCTGTGCCCCCTTCCTCAGGAGGAGGAGATGTACTCTCTCCATTGAAGGTAAGCTTGGCCATGTGACTTTCTTTGGCTTGTAAAATATTAATGGATATGCCATGTATTGCTTCAGGCAGAAACTTAGAGTCAATGAGGGCTTTGGTCTGGTCGCTCATGTCTTTGTCAGGGCAACTGGAAATGTTCTAGATGGTGACTGCTCCCTCAGCATGGGTCCCCCAAGTGAGGACAGTGACAGAGTGGAAGCAAAGAGCATTAATGAGACATGAACCATACCACTGAGTTCTGGGGATTATTTGTTATTATGGCAAAATTGAATCTAATCTGACTAGAATTTTTTCAATTTAGAAAAAGTCTTTATAACTCACATTTGCGCACTTGAGCCAGTATGTAACTTTCTTATGTGGATTATATTAGGGACCTTTAATAAAGTCTGTCCACATCCCATGCTTTAGTAGGGTACAAGTGCACTTACGCTATGGTCTGAATGCTTGTGTTCCCCCAACTCCCCCAGATTCATGTGTTAATCTTAACCTTCAATATGATGGCATTAGGAGGTGGGATCTTTGGCAGGTGATTAGGTCAGGAGGTTAATGCTCTTCTCAGAGACTCAGAGAGCTCTTGGGCTCCTTCCACCATGTGAGAGGCATGTGTTTGTGACCCAGGAGAGGACAGTCACCTGATCTTGGAATCCACCTTTCAGAGATGTGAGAAATACAATATAAGCCACCCAGCCTGTGGTAATTTATTATAACAGTCTGAGAAGACAAAGACAATTTATGTGTTTTGATGAAAAGTTGGTATTTCTCCAGACTGTTTACCAAGAACTAAAAAAAAAAATTCTGACTCTATAGGAATAGGAGAGCTTGAGATTTTTACTAATTCCCAAATTTTTATATTCTTTCTCATGTTTTTCAGTTTTACTTATTCAAATCTGCTTTCAGTGTTCACTGGATCTATTACTTTGTTACTTATTTCTTGCTTTTTTTACCTGTTCAACATTTCTCCTTTTTAACTCTTCCAAGCATCATTTCCCCTAGAAGAATTTCCTGTCTGTAAGCACTTCCCCATCCCCCTACTCTGAAAACTTTCCTTTATAATATCTATGTTTCTTTTTACCCTGGTGTTTATCTCAGTTTGGTTATTAATTATTGGTGTCATTATTGGATTAATTGTTCCCCTACTAGACTGAAAACTGCCCAAGAGCAGGGGATACATCTAATTTTGCACCTATTGTGCACAGGATGTCAACTCCACATCCTACATTTAGCAAGTGCTCAGTACATCCCACTCTGTTTTTCAGAATGGAATCTAAGATTTCAAATCTTGCTAAATGAGAATAGACAGGGACTGGATTAAAAGGTTCAAGGTAAAAAAGAGCGGAGGAGGTTCAAATATCCAGCGAACAAATAAAGCACAGTTATCAAATCGGGGCTGCAGGTTTTCCTCTTTTCTCCTCCTTCCATACACAGAAGTTTTATTAAGAATATTGATGGATTTGAAGGCTTGTTTTGTTCCTTTCTGAGAGACTGACACTTTTGTTAGAAGAATAGCTGAACCGTGTAATTAGCCTACACAAACTATTGCTATGAATATTGCTTTAAATGGAAGTCATTTAAAAAACAGACTTGGAAATGACTTTTCCATGTGTGCAGGTTTTTGTGTTAATAAAACCCACACAAGACGTGACAATGGGAAAACAGAATCTGCAAGTTATTTTTGAAAATGTTGACTGGGGGAGAAAGGGATGGTTCCTTTGTGGGTGGGTGCTGGTGGAACTTTCCCAGGAACAGTAACAAAAAACAAAGAAACAAGTAGATATGAACAACAATCCTGGGAGGTGGGTGAATTTATGGGCACAAAGGATTTTACCTTTGCAAGCACAGAAATGAAATCCATTGGCGGTGAAGTCTCAGAAGCATCAACATAGTCCTTGATGATGCTGAAAAGGCTGTTCACGAAACCAGAGCTTGTCTAGGACCAGAGAGAAAGAAAATGAGAGTAGACACACACACAGGGGTAAGGATAGAAATTTGATGAGCTTCAACTATAACGCACAAATCTTTTTCATTTTAAATTAATCTCCTGGCAAAATTTGAAGATTCGTTTTCCTACAGTCTCCAGTATGTATTTTTCTATATGTTTTCTTAGGAATAACATATTTTTAGTCTCTCTCCTCTCTCCTTTTTTTTTAGAGGAAAGATTTTGTTTATTTATAATATATGTAAGAAAATATATTTGAGAATAAACACTCAGGAAGATATGGAGTTCATAGGGATAGATGTACTTTCTGAAATAGGGAAAAATAAAAAAAAGTTACTAAAGACTGGTTGATATTTGTAATGGATTGAAAAGATGTCAATGGACATTTAAATTTACTTTTTATTAACCCAAACAAACCCCTGACCACAAGAGTATAGTGGGCTAGAATATGGAATAAACCATATCCCAATATGGAATATAAGACATGGGGCTAGACCAAGCATGGATTTTCATGATTTTCTGGTGAATTTTAACATACAACTGCTGGCATCCTCTTATTTTGTTTTACCTGACTTAACTCTTCCAGGTTTGCAAAAAGCCTCCATAAATCCACATCCAGGAGATACTCATGATCTTGTAGATATTTTAGTGTATTCATGAAGATCTTTAAAAAAAAAATGTACATTACTTTCTGGATTGAAACATGCCGTTTCCTAGAACATTTAACACAGACTTCCCAAGTATAACTTTACAGAACAATTTAGAAGTCAGTGTTTCCAGGGTTTAAGGATTTTACTAAATGCCAACAATGACATTTGTGCTCCATAGAACATAGGCGCAGTGCCCGCTTCTGTCCGAAGTTGCTGTTATTACCCAGATGACCCCTATCCACATTCCTGTTGAACATCATCCGTTCAAATGGGCTTTTTCCACCTCACGGTGCCAAAGAAGACTCCAAGTCTCCCTTCTCACCAATAGCAAGAACTGCCTAACCTCAGACCTGAACAACATGCATGCTGAGTTCTCGTTAATTCCTTCTGCAAAAGACCCAACTATGTTTTATTTTCAGGGAATTAAATCAATTGTCTATTTTAGAGTTCTTCTGTAAGAAGGATGTTAGCCAGCCAACCATACCAACTCCCATTTCCATGTAAAAAGAGAGTTACTATCTGATAACTGGTGAGAGGTTTAGATTTGGATAAAAGCATTAAGTACTAATGAAATCATTGAGGAAGACTTAATATCCTTATGTGATAGGATGTTTTCAAACAGTAGCAGGTCTACCTTACAGCCAGACAAAAAAGAAGAACTGCAACCATTACAGATGCCCTGGTCTATAAACTACAGAGAGGTCAATTTATTGTACTAGGAAGACATTGTATAAATATGATAAAGCATTCAAAGGGACCTGTTATTTAAGAATTCTCGGTATGAAAAGAAGGATGTTAGACAGTCAGCCTTTATCATTTCCCATTTCCATGTGGATTATACAGTGAGTGATTCTTGAACTTGCATTAAAATCACCTGGCTCATCTCTTGATAAGCCAGAGATTGCTGAGCCCCATCACAGAGTCTCCGATTAGCGGGCCTCTGATGGATCAGGGAACACGCATTCTCATCATGTGATTTGGATACTGTTGGTCTAAGGCCCACACTTTGAGAACCACTGATGCAGTTTGTCCTAAAATCTATACAGTACTGGTTGTCTGGAAATCTGTCAATATCCAAGCTTTTAAAAATACAATTGTAAGAAATAGAAATCATTACTATAGGTAAATTCAGATCATTTAGAAGAAATAGTCTTCTTGTTATAAGATTTTTTGTTCTACAGAAATTTTGGTCATTAAAAAATATATTAGGTCCTCCAGTATGTTTATTTTACTATATGATTTACAAAATTCCTTATAAGCAACCCTGGAAAATTCATATTGGTTGTATAGAGGGAATTATATAGATACTCTAAATATATCACGACATTAGAAAATAAACTCAAACTTCTCTCTTTCAAAACAGAAAATGCTAGTTTGAAAACCTTATGCAGTTTACAGTGGGATAAAATATGTGTATTACGTCAGGGCAGGTGGTTAGTGCTCTGCAATGACCATTTTTCGTTACCACCCAGTTTCCATGTTCCCCTCCCCGCCCCTCCTCTGCTGCTTGTCACTGTCAAAAAGCTAATAAGCAGAGACAGAATTGACTCTATAAGCACTTTTTATTTTTCAGATCGCTGGCCATTGATCTGAGAGAATGGAGGGCTTAGCACCCGACCTCTCATGGCCATTGGTCTGAGAGAATGGAAAGATTGTTCTGCCATCTCATCCTCAGCTGGCCTTTGTATAATGAGTGAAACCAAACCAGCCATTCATCTTCCTTCGTAAATGACTTGTGGCTTCTTTTGCCCTGCAATGGGACAGTTGAGTGGAGGCAATAAAGACCACACAGACTGCAAAGCCTAAAGTACTTACCATCTTTACAGATAACTACCAACCCCTGGCTTTAGGAAATGGAGGACTAGACTTTCCTAAGCTCACATGGCAAATCCAGCACTTGAACTTCAATCTCCCATCACAATGCTTTTTCCTGTGTTAGAAAAGCCAAGATGTGGAGGCAATCTTGAGAACAAAGTGGCCCATCCTCCATGTGATCTTGGAAAGAGGTTGTGCTCTTCTCCTACCTTCTCCTATAGATGGTCCCAAAGGAATTCTGTGCTCAGAGCCTCACCAGGTCAAGGCTGCAGCACCGGACAACCACAGGGGCACCATTTAAATGGCAGATATCATGCACGCACCAGGTAACCTAACTCCACCATGCTACAAGCAGATGGTTGCTCAGAAATTGGTGGCCCTATTTGTGAGGGAGCAAGAGCTCCAAAGAGGGAACTGACTAAAGAGGGAATGGGCTGCCTTGAGGGGGGTCGTGTGCTCCCTGGCTCGATCAGTGTGTGAGCACAGGATGGGAATAAGGCAGAAGGGATTCAGGTATCAGAGATGGAGCTGGACAGTTAACTTAGAAGATCTTGTCCAATCCTGAGAGGCTGTGTTTAAAAGAATGAAGAGACAGATAGCAGATAAACAAAAATACACAAGAAATACAATGCTTTTATGATCTCCTCAAAGAAGGGACTCCCCATACCCAACTTTCTTTTTCTCAGCACAGAAGAGGAAAACAGTTGCCCAAAGGACCAAATTAAAATTCTCCATGTAACTCTCCTGCACTGTTGGTGGGAGTGCAAACTGGTCCAACCACTATGGAGAGCTGTGTGGAGATTTCTGGACCTACTAAACATGGAGCTTCCATATGATCCAGCAATTCCACTCCTAGGTATTTACCCAAAGGACACAGAAACATCAATTCCAAAGAGCACCTGCACCCCTATGTTTATAGCAGCACAATTTACAATAGCTAAGCTTTGGAAACAACCCAAATGCCTAAAAATAGATGACTGGATCAAGAAGATGTGGTACATATACACCATGGAATATTACTCAGCATTCAAAAAAGATAAACACATGCAATTTGCAGCAACATGGATGGCGCTGGAAGGGATCATGCTCAGCGGAATAAGCCAGAAAGAAAAAGAAAAATACCGGATGGTCTCACTCATAGCAGGAATCTAGAAAACTTAAATAAGGGACCAGGAAAATGAATAACTATAAGAAAGTAAAAATCAAAATCAACAAACAACTATGAACCAGAGACACTCTATGGGGGGTGGGGGCGGGGAGGGGAGGGATTGGGGTCAAAATAAGGGGGTTGCAATTGTATGGGGAATATAAAAATAAAATTTATTTAAAAAAAATAAAATAAAATAAAATTCTCCATGTACTATAAATGTCAAACCCAGCATTACCACTTTAAGAACCAGTAAATGGTCCAGGAAGTAAGTGCATTCGCTGGTGAAGAGCTCCCACATGGCCTCCTGCTGCTTCCTCAAGTCTAGCTGATCAGTGGGAAGATTTTGATGTATTTCCATGACTTCATTCCAGGTCTTATCCTTCACATGGGAGAAAACAGAGAACAAAACATTTCCATTTACTTTGACTTGCTGTGAAACAGCAGGAACAAGCAATCCCCCAAGTCATGATTTCCCTCTGCAGATCTTGGGCATCCATCTTGGTGGTGGCACCTCAAGCCCCCCACATAGTGGCTTCTACTCTGTATGGCTTTGGGATGCCAGGTCTTCCTGGTGGAAAGCATAGGATGCACAGCTTGTATTATTTTTAGTTAAAATGAAAAGGAATTCAAATTGATCTTGTTTTGAATTCTGTGTCAGGATTTTATGAGTCCCTTTCAGTTAATTGAGGAAAAAAAAAAAAAAAACCTCAAGAAACTGCAAACCCAGAACTGGGAAATTTAATATAGGTTCACTGGCAAAATGTGTTAAAATTAACTATTGTGGAATCATAAAAGTCTGAGAACTTAAAGACACCTTTAGAAATTGTCTCAGCAAAACAGCTTAGTTCCAAATTGGTGGCCCTTAGTTCCAAATTGAGGTCTGGAGAGAATAGTAGTAACAACTCTTGAACATTTATATGGGGCTTCCTGGTCTACAAAGTGGTCCCAGACCCATGACCTAATTTAAGATAAAATGAATTTCCCAAGACTCCATTGTGAATTAGAGAGAGCAGACCTCATGCCAACCAGCTTCAGCTTTCATTCCTGTGTCTTGCTGTTGTTCTGAACAAGGCAATAACTTGACAACTTAAAACAAAAACTAAGACAAGGGCCTCCCCTGGTGGTGCAGGTGGTTGAGCGCAACACTGTGAAGCTGTCCGCAGCCTCTTGCAGTGAGGGTGCGAGATACCCACATGGCAGCGAGATACCCACATGGCACAGCAGACCTCTCCTGTCTCACCTGCTGCTCCCCTCAGCAGTATATTTCAGTCAGTCTGCCTGTTCTGTTCTCTGCTCTGTCTCTTGTGAATCCTCTCACCCTCCCGCACATCTGGCCTGTACCCTGGTTCTCATATGCATGAATAAATAAAAATCTTTAAAAAAAAAAGACAAAAAAAAGAAGCCACTTCACACAGTACACAATTTATAAGATACCTTAAGGTTATGGAACTTGGAGCCCCTGAAGTCTATAATCTTCACAGAGGAGAGGCAGTTTTCCAGATCTGATATGTGCTTGTGTCTGTCTTTGCCCTGCTTAATTAAAGAAGGTTAGAAACAGGTTCTTCAAACATGAATTCTTTAATGCACAACTTTGAGGACCTTAGCTTCTCTTGTTCATTCATGCATGAGAATGAATGAGCCATCCCAACAGCAGTTGGAAAAGAAAAAATAGTTGAAAGCCACTTCTGAGTCCTAGTCTGACCCCAGGATCACAGAATGCCAACCGTGGAGGACAGAGGCTAGAGAGGATGTCTAGTCCAAACACTTCATTTTACTAATAACCACCCCCCTCCACCCCCATACCGAGGCACCAAATGGTCATACAGCAAATTGATGGGCTCTAAGACTCTATCACTACGTGCACTGATATAGCGTCCATTGCAGTTCTAAGTCTTCAAAACACTGGATTATAGGAGGCTAACTTCAGAAAGTTCCTTTGATGTATTAGTTCAAATCCTTATTTAACAGATGAATGAATAAAGCTGAGTGTTAAAGGAACTGCCCAACACAAAAATTCTGCTAAGGAATATCAGAATATGCTAGAAACTAGTTTCCTTAGAATGGAGCCATGAGCCACCCATTTAAAATAAGTTATACTTTTCCTTATAATTTTTATTTTTAAGATACTAGTTAAAATTTTTATTACAAAAGTTAATAATGGTTATTACCGAAAATTTGAAAAAATAAAGAGAAACAAAATAATGCCAGTTACCCATAATTCCTAACCACCCCTCCATAACCACCGAAAACACCTTTTTGATTGTATTTATAATGAATTTTTAATGGTGTGATGTATACGACATTCTTTTGTAACTTGCTTTTTAAACTTAATATATTGTACCCTTTGTTTTTGGACTCATTCAATATTCTATTGCTACGTCATGAATTATCACTTGAAAAGTTCATTTTACCGCCTAACCAAGATGATATCAAATAACAATGTCTAAGGCTTTCTGAAGCTGACTTGGCTATATTCCAAATGAACACTTATCACTTAATTTTTTAGCTTATCTGTTTTCTCGGGGTGCATTATGCTACGTATGGACTTAATGAGCTTGGTGGAAGTTAATCAACTTCGTGTTAGTGAGAAAAATAAGGCACAGCTTACCTGCCATTGCAGGCAGGTGCTCCCAGTGTGTCTGAATGAAGATCCTGTAAATGGTTTCAGAATGTGCTGGTGGCATGTGGCTGCTTTCTCTGGTAAGATTATGATACTGAAAGAGGAAACCTATGGGAGACTCACTAGCTTCCTTAGTAGCTAAGGAATCTTGGAGCCCGTTGGGGACCTTGTATAACAATTGGTGCATAAATCTTTTGTTGATGTCTGAATCCTAGCAACTGCCTTTTGTGGAAATAAAAAAATTCCAGTAGCTAGTTGGAAGATAAAGAAGCTGAGGCAACAGTTGCAGCATTGAAGCTGTGGGGCGGTGGGCATAGCCCTCTCTCGTGAAGGGCACTATTGCTCTCCCTGAGGCTGACCAACCTCCTGACTGCCCAACATGCTGGTGGACACACCATTGAGGAGGGAGGCAAAGTCCCTGCAGAGGTTACCTTAACTCTTCTGAGTGACAGACCCACTTAATACCTTGTTTCTTCAGCCATGGCTAAGAGAAACCATGAGAAGCATTTGAGGGTATTTGAGGATATGGAGAATGAAGAAAAGTAGGAAGCCAAGGTTAATTCTGGGCTTGCAAAATTCTAGGGTGGAATGAAATTTGCAATAGGAAAGGGTGACATAGAACTGGAGTAAATGGATAAACAGGAATATGTCAACAGGAATATGAGTATTTGGGAGTGGTTGACAAAGAGTGCCCTTGACTCTGTGAAAACAGGCGAGACCTTTGAGAGCTCTGTTGAGAGGAAGGAAGGAGGCATGTCTGGTTCTGGTTCTGCTTCTGGTTCTGGAGCTACACGCTTGGATGAGCAGCACAGTGTCAGCACTGAAACACACCCAGAATCAGACTGAGGCTGCTGGGGACAAATCCCTATTCGGCCGCTTTATGGCTGTGTGACCTCAGGCAAGTTATTGAACCTCTTTCAATCTCAGTTTCCCTATTTGCAAAACAGGGGTAATAATGTTACCTGTCTTGTTGGGTTGTTGTGGGATGAGTGAGTTAATATATGTAAACTATGACAGACATAAACAGACACATGTAAGTGGAAGTGGTGGTATCTTGGGAGAACACAGAGCCAGTCATTTCTTTTCTTCCAAAAACAGGAATGGGGTGTCGGGGTGTGGTCAGGCCTTCCTTCTGCCCACAGCATACCAACTTGTCCCCGGCAGGAAAGGTTCAAGGACCACTGATTGTGACTTATAACACTTTAGTAAGAGACAGAACCAAGAATGAACTAAAAAAAAAAAACCCACTAGAATTAATCCAACCAAGTTTCTCAGAAATAGAAGCGTATTTGTGGAGTCTGGTTGTGTGCTCTCATTAATTTTTCAGTGTTCCCCATATGCACGACACTGATTGCAAACCAGGGCATAATGTTTGTGAGAGTTTACTTCATTGAGTGAGCTGTTTTCTAAACTGTATCAACTTATAAATTCAGAGTTGTAAAGCATCACAATATTAGGATTGCTTTGTTTTCTTTGCAGAGCTCATTAGCCACTAGCAATTAGCACTGTTTTGCTGCACATAATGGCAGCATTTGGCATGTTCTGCCCCCACTACTATGGAAATGATGATATTGTTTAAATCTCATGTGCCACCTGCCCTCACAAAGAGAAAAAGTGAAATAAAGACACTTCTGCCATGGCTTACTTTCTCAGCTACAGGTGGAGTAAGGAAAACAAAAATGACGACACACGTCACTCACCACTCCTCTCTTGGAGAAAGGCCATCTGGGTTTTTTGGATTCTGTAGGTGAAACGAAAATATATTAGTACTTTGAGTTATATTAGTTCTTTGAGTAACTACTGAGATCATTGCAGTGCTTTATAAAACCTGCTGTTTCAAATGGATCAAACAGAATCCAGCTTGCTTTTATTCTCCTTCTCTTGAGGATGCACAAAATGGAAATTCAAATTTATGAAGATGTGTGAGTGAAGCAAGGTTGGAAACTAAAGGCTGGCGTTCTTTTTGCTACCATCAGAGATAATGTCCAGTTTCTTTACCAGAGTATTGTTTCGCCTTCTTTTCTCCATCACTTGTGGAGAAATTTATAAAAAGTTAAAAAAAAAAAGTTGAACATTTCATTGTGTCTTAACACTCTAGGAGTAAAAGGACTTCATTTTAATTCTACTCTAGCAGAAACCATTCCAGCATATGTGACTTCAATAGTCAGATGAAACATGGGGATGCAGAGACACAATAATCCCCAGGTGAGTGGATCCCAGGCGCCTGCGTGGGGAACATCAACACGTGTCAGCAGTCTGTATGTGGGGACTCACTGGCTGCCTGCAAGAGTCCCTACATGTTGCTCTGAGTCCAGACAGAAGTCACTATCCAATAATAGCTTCTTAGGGTCATTGGGAAGTAAAGCTTAGATTCTGGTTTCTTGTATGTCATTTTTATCAACTCATGATGTTACCCAGGGAAAGCTGGGGATCACTCCTAGGTTTTGATCAAGGTATTCTGATCACCCAGTTTACAAAATGGGTGTCATAGAGTTATCCCCCATCTGTGAACTTCATCAGGAGACTGCATAACCCTTCAGTTCTACCTGTGTGTCATTGACTACATGCTTGGGCTTCAGGAACTTTCCCCTATCAAAGCCCTGGAATGCACCTGTCTGACTGATTATCTAATTCATTGACCTTTTTAAAAGGGAGATTAGGTGGAATTTCCCCTTGGGACAATTCAATTTGACCATTCTTAGTCCCCAAATACTTGGTGGCAAATGTGTATGTCCAATTTGAACTGCAATCATTGGGATCTCTGATCTCTTCAGATTCTTCCCTCTGCTTTTCTAACTTTGGGGATAATTTCAGGGCTTTGGGAGAGCTTCACAAGTGGTCAGAAGGTTTAAACAAGTCTTTCTTGAATCCATAATCTTTTATTATTGATATGAAATATTGAGTTTTGCAGAATCAGAATCTTTCTCTACAATGTCTTTACCTGACACCTGTGTACACCAAAGTTTACACCAGGATTTGGGAGCAGAGAACTATTTTGCTTCTTGAAAAGATGACATGGAGGGACCCTGGGCTTCTGGAGATGCCTTGAAGGTAAGTCTTTGGGAATCGCCCCATTTTTTTGAGCATTTCAACTCCACCTGGAGCTATTTTATGCTCTGTCTCTTCAAGTAAGGATTCTTTCATATAAAGGAGTCTCTTAAGAGCAAAACCTTAAAAAAAACTGACCAGAATAGAAAAACCTCAACTCTTGTTTTAGCTCTCAAGACTTTGATTTGCCCACCCTTGGAATCAAGGGGAATGAGCCATAATCATTGCTTTCTTTCAACCCATCTTCCACTGGGTTGAAGATGCACACAGACCTGTCAGGCTGCACCTTTTTATAAACATGGATCTGTTGTCACAGGGACTTCTGCCTCCACATGGTAGCACCCTGGCTGGAAGACACCAGTGCCAGCATCTTCCAGGACTTGGGTGGAGGTAGCTTTATAAAAATGATGAGGAAGCTGCCTACCAGCCTAGAAAGAACATTCTACCCCAAGATGGTGACTGTCCCCAGTGCACTGCCCCCCCCCCCGCTCTTGTATATGGAGCAAATTATTTGACAAGAGGACCTTTGGAGCAACAGTCTATACTTCAAGCATCTCTGTAAATGGAACGCCCGATGCCAAAACTGGTGTTCAGCTTGCTCCAGTAACTCACGACAGATGCCTGTTCTAACTGGTGAGACACCTGTTCTAACTGGCCACACCAAATGTTCTCCTAGTTATCAAATATTCTGAAAATGCCCCCTGCTTATTACCCATATTTCCCATAGCAGGCCTATAGTGAAAGTATGATAATGAACGGACCTGAATTCAGCACCAGAAGTGGGTGGCACATGTAATCGGCAGCTCCATCTGACACCAGAAGGTCCCCGGGGAACATCTCAAGTCCAGGTAAGTTGAGCACCACAGAGCTTCGCCTGTGCTCGAAGAACCTGCACTCGAGAGATGAAAGGAGAGTGCTCAGAGCAGGAGGTGGCAGTTCCCCTTCCGACCACCCCACCATTCAGAGGTGAGTAGCCTGGTGTAGCTTTCCTGGGCAGGTCTTGGGGGGCAGGGGGGCTGGGTGGGGGGTGCGGGTAAGACAGGGCTATGACACATATGCCACGCATTTACTTGACAGTGTTCTGAGACTTCTTCACCGTTTATGATTTTAACTAACTCAAAGCAGAAGATCTCACCTAGAAATGCCAACACAAACATCCCTGGCTTGTTCCGACTGGGGAGGCTATTAGCCAGAAAACCCTTGAACACAAGAGTCTTTGCAAATCACACACCTCAGAGGTGCCCAGCACGCATGGGTGTGAGCCTCAGTACCTCCTGACCTGAGGCTGGCAGTTTAAAGTCAACACTTGCTTATCTCAAAGAATAACGAGCACAAGTTTTTGGAAAAACTTAAACAGATCTAACTCCCATCTCAGTTTCTTCAACCCCATTTCTTGAAACTTCCTGTTGGTTAGTCAGTCACAAAATGAACAGCTGGCATAGCAGAGAGAGTGGGAAGCAGCTCCAAAGCCACTAGGCATTTATTTGCTCAGTCAATTCCTGATAACATGTAACGGTGGAGATTTCCATTACTTCCCCATCAGCATCGTTCAGTGTTCTGTTGGTCTATTTTGAGGGATGAGAGATGCAATTCCTTGTATTTATTGCTTTGTCAGTGCAAGAAACATGTCCTATCAGCACGGGGGTCAGCCGATGCTCTTTCGTAGACAACCCATTGCTACTGATGGTCAGGAATGAATGAAGAAACCCCCCTCTGATGTCACCCTCGAAGTATTTTGCTTCATCAAGTAGTTTTGCAGATCCATGCTCGCCTCTCCTCTGGACCCTAAACTCCTAGCTCTTGCTTTAAATTTAGTAAGGACTCAATCAACATTTCTTTAGTAAATGGAACATGGACCAAACCACACACAGCCAGGGTCATCACTGGCATTTTCTTACACAAACTCCTGCAGAGTAGCGGACCAGTGACCGCTACCACTCACTCTTCTCCAAATTCACCCTGACTTCTTGCCTCCAGGCCTCAGCTCAGGTAGTTTCATCGTCCTACCCAGCTCCACTTAGCATGGCAAACTCATGTTCATCTTCAATTCCAGTTTAGACACCTGTTCTTCCTTTCTGATCCACTCAAGGCCTCGCTCCTCCCTCACCTGATCCTTCTGTTCTCAGTGATGATTTCATGGAAGGCTCCGGCTGTGTCTTACATATCATAGAATCTAAGCGCCTTGCCTAGAACCTGACACAGCAGCTATTCAAATAAGCTCATTGAATAAATAGGCACACTGACTTATGGAGTGACACATACCTAGTTCCTCTCAAATGAACTTGCTTTTTCATTCTAGGCCATAAGTGAATAATTATAAGCACAGACAATAGCAAAATGTAAGTCGAGTCCCTCCCCCTGCCTCATTAGAGATGGTTAAATGACCCCTCTTCTTTTCTCCCTTATCTGGGGTACATTGTGACACAAGGCATTCATTAGAGAGCACTTAGGCTGTGTTTTAGAGTTCAGTTTACACAGACATAGCAGAAGGGACAATGGGTTTGCACAAAGCTAGAGCTTGTGACCTTGGCTTTGTTGCCTTGGTGCTTAAAACCCAGTGGTGCTCATTCTGGAAAGGTGGGCATTTTATATTTATTAGAAGAGGGTGAGGGTTAATAAAAATATCAAGAGTCATACAGTTGTAACCAGAGAGACCCAGGAAAACAATGAAAAGTACATCTGTGCACCGAGAAATGGAGACGAGGAGGGTGCGGAAGACCTGGTCCTACACACCCACTGCTTGGTGGTGGACTGGCTCTCTGGACCCTGTGCCACATCTGCAGGGCTGCACAGGTAGTTAGATTAATGATATTAATGCAAATAGTTCCAATGACTTCAGAATGACTTTTAATTTAATTATTGTTGGGGGAGGGGTTTTGATGATTCCAAACTGGTACCTTCTTTTGCTATTCCAAATATTAGGAATAAAAAATCCTTTATGCGTCTATAAAAATTGCATGCATGCAGAATCATTGCGTCCAGGTCTAGACTGATTATCTCTGGAAACAATCATTGTAATAAATTCAGAATTGCTCCCTTTTTCCTCCACACAAAATGCTGTGTGCATGGGGTAGCAGTGTCTTGTTGAAGAGGGTAGGAAAGAGAATTTTTTGTTAGTTTAATTTCCTCATAGGGAGATGAAGGTTGGAAATGAACTAATAACAAATGCTAAATGTTTGGGGTGTGGCCGACAGCCCATTGTCTTGGTGTAAGTACAGAATAACTTTACGCTGCCTTTTATTTGTTTGGAAAAATCACAATTAAACAAACATCATTGAGAAATGCCTTTTTTTTTTTTTTTGGTTTGATGATTGCTAGCCTGGTTCTTTGCTTCATTAGAAAATTCTGGACCTAGGATATTGTATAACTAGGCACCTGTCCTAGACTTTGCAGCCCCCTTGGGCTTGCCAGCTGCCTCCCCCCTACCCCATTCAGAAACCCCAAATCAGCCCCACTTTCACTAACCCTGAGTTGCGTTGCCCCAGGCTGGTCAAATCCGAGGGGACTAGTCCCATGGCTGCTGGAGTGGCTGCGTCTCCCTTCTGGTACCAGAAAGTCATCTTATTCTGTTCTCTGCTGAAGATCCAAAGGCCCGTGGTGTGGGCTGGGGTGGCAACCATTTCAAGAATCCAGAGAATTCTCCCACTGCTGACAGGCTGCACACCCATGAGTCAACACCAACAATGAGCCTTCTCTCGATGGTGCCAGAAAAGTTTCTGGCTGCGGAAAATGTGTCCCCCAGTGGACCTCAAATGCATACACTTTGCAAGGAATAGATTGATCTTCTTGACTATTATTCTAATTTAAAATCAGCTGATGTTTACTGAGCACCAATTCTTACTAGACACTATGCTCAAGTCTTTCCATACATTATCATATTGATTTTCACAAGCAGCCTATGAAGTGGAAATTACTGTTCTCATTTTAGAATGAAGCTGAGGCTTAGAGAGATAAAGAACTCACTTAAGGTCTCATTGTTAGTGAACAGAAGACCCAGAATTCAAAATTCAAATATGCAAATTTGCCTCCAAAAAGACTTGTAAATGGAAGAGGATACTAATCCGTTTTCAAGCAAGGTATGTGGTTTTTTTTCTTCTCAAATTGATGTAATAATGACTATCACTTTAGGTAAAAGAGGAACGCAGCAGGTTGAATGAAAGCTCCTTCCCTCTCCCCACCCAAGATATGTCCACAGTCCTAAAAGAACTAACAGAATGGAACAGACCAAAGAACCTGTATGGTGGGTGAAAGGAAGGACCACAGCCTGCTAATTCCCAGGTACAAATTTTAGTGAAAAATAATGAAAAAGGCTAGAGAATATGGGAGGGAGTGATGTATGCCCATTCATGACAGGAACCCCCAATCTGCACTCAGTTGTTTTCCCCAGGACTCTGCTCACTCAGACCGCTTTCTGGGTGTGCTTTGATTCTGTCTCTAATAAACATTTTTTTGCTTTACTTAGATGTGGCTTGGCTTTGAATTGTCTCACAAGTCAGTCAAGGACTCATGAATCCAGGAATCCAAAGATGATGAATTTTGGAGTTCAGGAATCCAAAACCAGAGAACAGACCCAGCTGAGCCCAGCTGAGATCAACTGACCACCAGTGGACAAAGATTTATAGAAACAGTAGCGAGTTGTTGTTTTAAATGACTGAGATTAGTTTGTTAGGCAGCCACAGTTAACTGATACATGAACCCCATAATCTGCATTTTCTTATGGCTTTGTGATTATCCTGTACCTTTGTTCGTACATTTAGATCAACTGGGCTTCAAATCAATGAAGACTGCGTAGAATGATCTCATCCCACCAATTATGAATAGCAAGCTCTTGTTTGAGTACAGAAGTCCAATAAGAAAAGTAACTGATATTCCATTCCTAGGAGTTTACCCAAAGGACACAAAAACACTAATTTGAAAGGAAGCCTGCGCCCCTCTGTTGTTGCAGCACCAATTACAATAGCCAAGCTATGGAAACAAACTAAATGCCCCCAAAACAAATGAATGGATCGAGAAGATATGGTTCACATACACAATAGAACACTACTCCATGATCAAAGAAGATAAACATATGCAATTTGCAGCAACACAGATGGAGCTGGAAGGGATTATGCTAAGTGAATTAAGTCAGAAGGGAAAAAAAAATAGGTGGGGCCTAGGAAAACCAAACAAAGGGTCAGGAAAAAGACAAAACTTGCAAGCTGACCATAGCCTTGAGGCAAACAGCAGGGGCTGGAGAGAGAGAGAGGTGCAAAAGGGAAGGGAAGAGCACAGGAAACTATGGTGATGGTTCGTGGTTACCTTGGTGGTGGGAGAACTATCTGGGCTACGTCTGAGTGGAAAGCAATGATATAAGAAAATAAATAAATTGGGCCTCCCTGGTGGCACAAGGGGTTAAGACACAGCACCTTGAATCTATCCACAGGCAGCCACTGCAGCATGGCTTGATTCCCAGCCACAGAGGTGAAGCCCACATGGCGCAGCAGACCTCTCCTGTCTTGCCCACTGCTCCCCTCAGCAGTGTATTTCAGTCAGTCTGCCTGTTCTGCTCCCCACTCTGTCTCTGGTGAATCCTCTCACCCCCCTGCATCTCTGGCCTGTACCCCAGTTCTTGTATGCATAAATAAAAAAAAAATCTTTAAAAAAAGAAAATAAATTATAAAATAGAAAAGTAATGATTCCCCGTGAGTTCCTCTGTGACTTTCCAAGTGAGATGAGGGTTCGGCTACCAATCCTTCATGCTGGGTGGATGAAATCACGCCTGGCTCTTTCCTGGGCTGTCATAGTGTAACAGGGTGGTCCCCAGGAAAGGGGGAGGTTCCAGGTTCCCTGCCCCACCCAAAAGGAGGATGGAGCTGAGCAGAGAGAAGAAGCTGCAGAGGAGACTGAGGAAGGAAGGAAGCAGGATGGAGAACCAGGAGGAGACCTGCAGGAGGCACATGGAGCCTAGAGACACGTGAAGAAACTGCGCTTGCCTTTTGGTCATGGACTGGGTGACACAGATGTGGGTGAGACCCGTGGGGAGGTGACAATGGCAGCTTTTATCTTGATGTTGATTTTGCTCTTTTCCTTCAGGGATTGTCTGGTTGTTTCTGACCCTTTTCTGTGGGTCCCCACTGGAAGATGCTTTGGACTTGTGGCAGGCTTTGGGGCCTTGCTCTGGGCCATTCCCATATGGATGGACTTTTACCCACGAGGGGACGGGTAACTTTGGGTGCTTGATTTAGAAACTAGATTCTTTGCCTTTCCTGTATTGTTTATCAATTGTATTAAAGTTTCTTCCCATTAAAGTTTCATATGTTTTGTGTTGATGCGGCGGATGGCAGAACCTATTTAGAGCGGGCAGGTTTCGGGGGTTCTGGGGTGCACCTCTCCCTGCCCTGTAACAATAGAAGCTTTCACCCTTAGAAGGGGTGGCAAATCCACAGAAGGGGTGGCAAATCCACTGCCCCAACCTGGAGACCCCACTCAAATTTCAGAACTGGCTTCTGAAGTGACACATGCCACCTGCATTCGAGAGAGGGTCACGTTCTGTCAACGGGCATCTTACACCTGAACACCTTTCTTGTTCCTTTTATCTGTATCCTCTGAATTTCTCTTTGAAAAGCTGTTGAATGTTTCTGGCCTTTCCATTTCCTCTGCCTGACAAAATCTACTACCAAGTGGGTGCTAATTAAGTCACAGGCCAAGTTATTGGCAATTCAAAATGAAGACCAGGACAGCCTGCGGCTGTCAGATCCTCCTGAAAGAGTCACAGCAAAATGCTTTGGTCTTAAAGGAGACTCTTGAAATTAGGACTCTTTCGCCCATAAACGTGAAGGATAATCTAAGGGTTGTAAAATAAAATGCCCTGATTAACAGCTTTGCTGTATCAGAGCAGAAATAAAGATATAAAAGTAGAGTGTCAACAGATTTTATAGCATTGGAAAGAATGAAGACATACACACCTGGACAGAGGCGGTTCTTCTCTCTGAAATAAATTGAAAATATATACATTTTAGTTTTGTTTAAGTGCATTCCAAATTCCAAAGTAGACATCATGAAATGAGAGGTAATTGGTATTCCCATCTAGAATATTTCAGATTTTTCTTTTTTGGGAGGAGGGGGAAAGGAAGATTAGAAATCTGAATAATTGGGCCTCCCAGGTGGTGCAAGGGGTTAAGCACCACACTGTGAAGCAATCTGCAGCCTTTGTAACACAAGTTCGATCCCCAGCCTGCCAGGGAGCATCCTACATGGCGCAGCCAACCTCTCCTGTCTCGCCCGCTGCTCCCCTCAGCAGTGTATTTCGTCAGTCTGCCTGTTCTGTTCCCCACTCTGTCTCTGGTGAATCCTCTCACCCTCCCCCACTCGCATCTCTGGCCTATACCCCAGCTCTTGTATGCATAAATAAATAAATCTTCAAAAAATAAAAAGAAATCTGAATAATTTGCTCTTTTTCCCCTTTGAAACCAGTCAATACAGGTGCTCTTCAAATGGTGTGTGTTTGCAAAAGGGTCACTTTCCTTACTATCTGATGCTTGACAGGTCATCTGAAGCCTGACCTCAGGGGGCTCTTTTTTAAATGCCTTCCAGGTGAGCTAGACCTCCAGTCTACTTTTCCAGACAGCTGTATGCCATTTACTTAAATAGTGTGTGTCTCCTCAACAAGCCCTTTCGTTGCTCCCATCACAAGACCCTTGGCCTTGGGATAATGAGGCAGCCTTGCCATTTATTGTTTGGTTCACAGAGGGAGAGGCAGGGGGCTTTGAGTGTGTTTTACCTGAGGCGTAGGGGACCGTGGTGTGAGACTGGGCAGTGACTGGCCTCCAGTCCCTGGGAGAGAGGCCTGGGGGAGGGACCCCTCATTGATGGATGGAGATTCTGGAGGGGCATGCTCCTCAGCGGGCCCTGTTTGGGGCTGGAAAAAGTCAGCAGCATTGAGGGCACTATCAGCGTCCAGAGGCACTTTCGGAGTCCAGTCCACTTTTGTCCTCACAGGCGACGAGAGGTTGAAAGAATCCTGTAGGCTTCCAGGTAGGCTTTGGGATAAGAAATGCGAGGAGACTGCAGGCGCCTTCCAGCTTCCCCAGGTGGGCACTTTGAACGTCTCTTGCTGAGACAGTGAGCGCGAAGTACCACAGCCACTGTTCCTTAATCTCCTCAAAGTGGGAGAGGTGGAAATTCGGCTCGGGGCTTGCCTGTCAAAGTGGAGCAGATTCCCCTGGTTCTCACAGTGCTGCTCAGAGGAGATACCCAGGTAAGTCTTGCAGTCTTGGGATTGTTCCTCTGGCTGGGGTGACTCTGTCTTCTCCATGCAGCTACAAGGTTGTGTTTCTGGAAGCTTCCAGGGAACCCTGTTGGAGTTGCTGTTCTCCTGATCACACAGGGCTGGTTGAGTCTCCTCATCCAATAGTAAGTCTTTCTCTGGACTGTCCTTGTCCTTCCCCAGAGAATGATTATTAGCAGGTTGTTGCATCTTAAGTCAGGAAGAGTGGACTGTGGAATCTGTTACAAATGAGGGAGACTGAGCTGAGAAAAAAATGGTATCTGAAATTTCACATGAAAACTTCTAAATCAGAAAGATAGAACCTAGTTAACATTAAGCTCCCCCATGTCTTGAAGATAATTAATGTTAAGTCTAGACTTCCATTTAAATAATTAAACAATGAAATTTGTTTAAGGCTTTTAAAAGTTCTGGTGACCTAAGAGCCTTCTCAGAAGTCACGTAGCCCATCACCTGTTGAGTATTCCACTTTAAGAGAATCAAACATACAAAATATTTCCCTTAATTCTGCCTTATTTAATTAATTTTAGCATTTTTGATGTATTCCAGGGATGTAAAAATAAGGAAAACAAGGCCTTTTCCCTCCAGGTTTAAATTATAGAATAAGACATGGTTTCGAGAGATATTGATGTGAAATATTTGGCAAAAAAACTTTCTAGATTTTATCACTCCTTACGTTTTCGAAAAATAACTTGCGAGTTTGAAAAGAAAAACCCAGATGTCGCCCAGATGCCTTGACTCTCATGAGTAGAGGTGTTTTCTAGGATTCACTAACACAGAACTACCTCCCAGTGAAGCTCTTTTCACACTCAAGCAAAACTGATTTTATCATTTGACAACTTGATTCAAGGTGACATGGAAGTGATTTATTGATGTCTATTGCATAGTCTCCCATATGTGGGAAGGTGCTGATCCTTACCCACGCCATCAATAACTGCCTAAGAGTCAGTTCTTGATTACTTACAGACCTGGTGTGGAACAGATCAGGTAGCCGCCTTCCCTTGCCAAGGGCAGCATGGAAGGTGCTTTTAAACTTTGCGTCACTTCTTTGTGGATGGCTGTTTAGTAACCGACCTCCTATTCTGAGATCTCCAATACTCATTTCAACAAATCCATAATTCCAAAGTGAAACTCAGCAATCCACAGCTCACTGCTAAGGAACACGTGGATGGCCAAATTCTCAGGGTAGCCACTAATTTACCTTTTCAGTGCTGCTTAATTTTAACTGCACTGACAACACCTTTTGGTGGAACTTTTTCTACAGTGTATTCTCAGCTTCCTCCGTTTGATCATGGAGAACAGCAAATGCTAGCCAATAAACCTTTCTTTTCTCGTTGACCTGACCTCCTTAGACTGATTATCCCTCATAGTACAAGTGAAATACGATGATTTATTGACCAGAATTAACTGTGATTCTGTGGAGAATATAATAATTGTTATAAGTTTCTATAGCATGATTATTTGACCCAAAGCCAATGGCCCCACCCTGATGTACTCCCTAATTTTTACTTGTTTCTCATTCTGCTACAGGGCAGGAGAAGGGGCACCTGACCGCCAAACCTGCCTCCTCTAAATGGTTCTGCCAACCGCTCCATTAATACAAAACATACTCTAGTGTGTAAGACCTTTCATAGAAATTAACTTTAGTACAATTAGTGTGCAATGAGAACAGAAGGGAGAGAACAGCTAAAATAGTTTCCACATGAAACACACAAACTTACCCGTGCCCTGGTGAGTAAATGCCCAGCCAAAGAGGGTTGGCCCAAAGCAGGACCGCTGAGGCCCAAAAGTCTATTGGGGACCCATAGGAAAGAGACAGAAGGGGCCAGGCAAGTCTGGCAGGAAAAGAGCAAAATCAAAATACAAGTCACAGTAAAGGCTGCCATTGTCAGCCTCCCCATGGGACTCTCACCCTTATCTCTGTCTCTTTCAAGGGTCTCCTTCCATGTCCCCCTGGTCCCTGGTGCAAGTCTAAGGCTGAGAAGAAAGTGTAGCTTCTTCACGTCTCCCTGCTTCATGTGCCTCCTCCAGGTCTCCCTGATATCTTTCCTTCTTCCTTCTAGTCTTTTCTAGCTTCACCTCCCTGCCCAGCTCCACCTTCCTGAGGGTGAGGCAGGGAACCTGGAACCTCCCCTACCGTGGGGATTACACGGTTACAGTTGTAGTTTGTGTACTGGCTTATGGCAGCCACTCTTTTCCCTTTGTTTCCCCTGATCTGTTTTGCAAGTGGAAGTCCAACAACCTTGCAGGGCAATAGGCAGAGATGTAGCCTAGCCAATAAAGAGAAGCCCAATGTTATGGCATTGTCATGGCTGTGAGATTGATCTTAGGGACTTCATGTTCCATTATATTCACTCTGCTACTGTCATCTGGTTTAAGGCCAAATGAAAATAATAATAGTTTCAGACTGATTTTTAGATTGGAGACTTGCTGCAGGAGCTTCTCAGATATCAAGTGAAGTCAGTTCAAACTTACCTGCATAAAAATCTGAAATTCTTAATTTTGTGTTTGCTTTAATATTTTGAGCTGAGAACTCTAGTGTTACAGAACTTTCTTTACATGTAGAACTAATATGCATGAGGTGCTCTTATTGGGGGAGTAGGCGGGTGAGTGTAATGCCAGGAAAAAGAATGTTACATTTTAATTAAGGAGGGTGGATCTGGTTTTGCTTTTAGTTTGGTAATTTCTGATTGTTGCTATAAGTGTTATTAAAAAACATTTAAAAAACAAAAATTCATGAAATTACAGATCTAATTGGTTTTATTAATGATTCTTGAATCAGGCAGCATTCCATCTAGATACTGGCAAGGGTTAGTAATATGACGGGTATTTAGAGACAGAGGGTGGGGAAGGTTATCAGCAAAGGAAATATTTCTGTTAAAGCCATCTTCCCTTAGGGAAAGGCGGGGGATCTTATCATGCAGATGATCTCACTGGTTCTAACTAGGAAACTCCTGATTGATTGGTTCAGGATCACCCTGCTGAAAAAGGTCAAAACTGCAATGAGATTAGGTATTAAGTCTGAGTGGGGTCCCAGCGGGAAGGACTCATTTTGTTCTTTCTGTTTTTTTCACAGGCCCATTCTGATTATTGATGAAACAGGTATAGTCAGTCTCTTCAGAGCCTCCACCGAAGGGGTCAACTCCTTGTCCTCCCAACAAACTAATGGCTGAGCTGAGGGCTGGAGTTACAGGTACTTTCACACACATACACGCCCTGGGAATTTTATTATTTTCTCCTTTCTAGTATTGTCCAAGTTCTGGCAGCAGCACAGTTAAAGGAATTTAGTGTGTTTACATAAGCACTCGCACAATGGATCTACCAGAGCTCTTAGACCTTGGGCTTCCCTTCTGTCATTTTGCCTTCTCTCCTCCTGTGAGGGGTTAGACACTGCTGTGGATTTCCTTTCCTGACACCAGTGTGTGGCTGCTGATAGGAGGTTATTATGGCTGATAGGAAGGGCATAATTGTCGTTAAGCATTATTTATTGGCCAGTGTCATAAAAATTGGAACTGAGGCAAGAGTAACTGTGGACATGACTCATGCAGAACTGGAGAAACTGAGCACAGCGGGGCTGCAGGAGGCAGTTTGCAGAGGGAAGAGCTGCGGTCACTGGAGCAAGCAATCTACCTGCTTTAGCTGCCCCTCCCAACCCCCCACCAGCTAGACTGGTGACCTGGGACCAGCCACTCCCGCCTGTCAGCCCCCAGCTTGCATTTTTGAAAGTGCATCTGGGAGCCTCCCTCACAGGCTTGTGGGAGGCCGTGGGAGGCGGGATCAGAGGAGGTAACAGCTGAGACTCCTAGGAGACCACCCCTACCACTCCCCCAAATGACCACCTCCTGGAGATCGGGTAAAGTCTCAAAATAGAAATGTGTAGGCTAACTTTCCTTTATGGTTCTCTATACGACTAAATCAATAAATAGTCATGATAAAGAAAATTCACCAGCCTTCTACCTCCCAAGCATTAAGAACGCAGCGAACACCACCCACACTGTTGGGAAAGCCATGTTTGTACTGGAAATGAAAACACAGAGATTAATGATTCACCCTGTTCTGCTTAAACCCACGGAGACCAGCAAGACAAGACCAAAAGAGTAGCAACAGGATCGAAGAGAACGGAAAGTACAAGAAGGAAGTTCAGCCAGCAGCCAGCGCTGCCTCACATACCTGTGGGGTGGTCGGCCTCTGAAGGTGACATTGTCCAGGTGGGTCCCCAGGGAGTCAGCAGGAACACAGAAGGAGCTGCAGGTGAGGGCTAGAAAGAGCAGGTCCACACCTGTAACCGGGGACCCTCCTTGGCCAAGGGCAGGCAAACTTGATCCAAGCTGAAAAGAGGAACTGGCCTTTCCACTCCTTACAGAATTTTCTAGTTATTTGTTTATGAAAAAGCTTAAGGGGAAGCACGTTCAGAACCTAAGGTGCTTAAGAAAAAGTCAGGTGATTTGTTTCCATTGAACAATGGCTGTTCCAATGCAGAAATGATGCAAAGTTGGCTTTTTACTTCCTCCTTCACTGTCCAGTAGTCACCTGAATAGTCCAGGGAGGCACTTCTGTTCTGCATTTCTATTGTGTTTGTTTTCTTAAAAGTTGTCAGAATCATTTCTTTGGCCCATTCTTTTTTTATAGTCTAAAACATTTTGTGTGGATCTATCTGATTCATAAGATGTTTTGATATGTGCCCAAAATAGAGAAAATGACCATTATACCTGGGAACAAATTTGTGAATACTCATTTTCAAATAATTAAAATGCAGATAGAAAAGTATTTGACCTATCAGCTTTCTCATTATAGCAGTTGGTGTCTCAGTAGAGATATTACATGCATTCCAAATAATAGGTACAGTATAAAAATGTCTATAGATTCTTTACACAAATTTAAATGAATTTTAATTCAGTTGGAGTTACTAAAGTTTTCATTGCTTAGAATCACTGCAGATAAGTATTGGTAATTTTTTTTAGCTCATTGATTCTCAAAGTGGGATTTCTGGACCAGCAGCATCAGTACCATTAGGACTTGGGAATTTTGTTAAAAAAGCAGATTCTCAACACTCCCCCACCTCCTGAATCAAAAACTTTGGGGGTGGGGATGGAAGTCTGTTTAATAAGCCCTCTAGGTGATTCTTAAACAGGTTAAAAGTTAAGAACTCTGTCTAATGTATCTATCTTAGCTTTGTGATAACCTTTGTTATTTCCTTCACATTGGCTTTATTGGAACATTATTTACCTTGTTAAAAAAGTGATAACATACCCAAGGCAGAGTCACTTATGCTAAGCCCCACATCACCAAACAGACTTAATATCTAACATGATGGTAGTTTCAAGTCATCCTGGGAATGTAATCTTAACCAGTAAGTCTGGAATTCCCTGGTTGCTCTTAAGCAGCAATCGGCTTGCTAGACCCTCTTTTCCCACTAGGAAGGTGACCCTACCTGAAATAATTCAGCCTTATCGTACCCCCTCCTGGTTATAAAAGCCTTCCATTCATTTCACACAGTTCTTTGGAACTTCTTTCCACTTGATAGATGGGATGTTGCCCAATTCATGATTTAATAAAACCAATTAGACATTCAGGTTTACTCAGATGAATTTTTATTTCTAGCCACTTCGAGCTTTGAAAACCAACTTGATCTCTCCCGCCATTGCCATAGACACCTTCACTAAACCAAAAACACAGTCACCAAGGGCATTGTTCTATGTTGCTTGCATGGAACCAACCAGCATAAAAGTCTGTGCTTCTGCCACGGCTGTCTAGAAATGAATTGACTCACTTTAGGAAGAAAGGAAAATGAAAAAAGTATTTTAGCCTTTGTGTTTGGGGTAGAGGATGTCCTAAACAAACTCCATAAATAGGTTTTATGGACCCCACCCCCACCCCAGACCAAAGGGATCCAAAACACCAAGAACTACAATTCCCATAATGTCATCAGCACTGAGGGGAGGGTTGCTGGGAACTAAAGGTGGAGTTAAGCAGCCAGGCTTAATGTATAACCAGACATGTGGGCCTTGAGGGTCCTTGGTTTTCCGCTGGCTCTCAGCGTGCTATTGGGGTTCCAGCTCAGAGGAACTGTTAGGATGCATTCACCAATTTATCTCTCTCTCTTTCTCTCTGAGTTATTTCTTCATTACCCTTTTTTGTAAATTAGCCCTTTGTTACCCTTTTTGTGTGTCTGTGGTTGAGTCTCATTGTAGGCCCCTTTTAAGAGCGGGGATGAGGACCCACAGTCAGGCCAACCCATTTCACTTTGGGGTTGCCCTGTAATATTTGGTTTGTGGAAAGGTCATTCTTAATCTCCAGTTCTCTCATGCAGGCTTGATTGTAAAAATATTCTCGCTGGGAAAGTTGGTAATGGAATAGTAGGTCCCCATGCAAAAATTTCCAACCTCTGCTTGTTACTTAAATAAGAAAATTAAGAAGGGTCACAAAGAATTATTTAGAAAAAAAAAAAAGGAATGTGGCCTCCAACAGTAAGGAGAACAGGGAGATATTTTGGAGGGGGCAGGGATACCAGCAGAAAACAGTCTCTAGGGGGCCTCCCCGGTGGCGCAGCGGTTGAGCGCTGGGTTGCGAAGCTGCCCACAGCCTCTGCAGCAGAGCGGGTTCGATCCCCAGCTGCTCCCCGGCCACCGGAGGAGGGTCCCACATGGCGCGCAGACCTCTCCTGCCGCCTGCTGCTCCCCTCAGCAGTGTGCTTCGGTCCTTCTGCCTGCTCTGCTCCCCGCTCTGGCTCTGGTGAATTCTCTCGCCCTCCCGCGCTTCTGACTGTACCCAGTGCTTGCATGTATAAATAAATAAATCTTAAAAAAAAAAAAAAAAAAACCCAGTCTCTAGGGTCAGCTTCTTCAAGACCCTGGGGAAACCCCCTGGAAGCCACTGTGGTCCCTTAGCTCTCAGAGTGACACATGGCTTTCTCCCACATGGCCAAGGGAAAGGGAGCAGTTGCCTCATCCTTTCTGCCTTCTGCTTATGATCCTTAATCAGATGAGTCTTAGTTTGGGAGAAAGCTAACAGGGCTGTGTCCCCTGCAAAGTCTACAGACTGACAAACTGCTTTTGTCTCATGAATATGCAGATCTAGGCTGCAAGCTTTGACGTCGCGATTGGTTTTCTGTCTTTTTTAAAAAGAGGTAATTCAATATTAAACATTATGAGATGCTATGGAAAAATTTAGATTGCAAGCTTTTCTCTTCTACTTTTCAAATGAGTCAAACTGGCAACTTCTCTGTCCTGCCCCGTTTGTCCTTGCTCGGCTCCTGCTTATCTTCTTTGCAGACAAAGCCAGAAATCCAGGTGAGACCCACTGAAACCAATGATGGAGGTAGAAGTAGACAAGGGCTGATTACAACCTCGTTACTATGGTAAAAACCCTGCCCATGACAGAGCTGGTCTAGCCCAAACTTGGAAGAAAAAGAGGTGTGAATGTAGTTCCTGGGAACCCCAGCCTTGTTCTCTGAAACCCTGTTGATGTAGACATTTAAGCATTTCCCCCTTTGGAGTATTCCCCCATATAAGTCCCTGCATCCCCCCAATTCAGGGAGATGGCCTTTGAGACAGTGGTCTGCCATCTCCTCCATGTGCTGCTTCCTGATTTCCTCCCACCAACTCGTGTCCCTTGAGTTTTGACTTAGGAGCAGCGAGTAGCCAGACCCAAGCTCTGGTAGTGAATAGACTAGCTCTGAGGACAGGCTCCCTGCTTTAGACTGGACAAGTGAGGTCTGATTTCACAGTCTCTGCCACTTCCTACTTATTTATTATTGTTATCACTGTTATTATTAATATTTTTTGAAGATTTATTTATTTATGCATTCAAGAACTGGGGTATAAGCCAGAGGTGGGTGGGGGGCGGGGTGAGAAGATTCACCAGAGAGAGTGGGGAACAGAACAGGCAGATGTACTGAAATACACTGCTGAGGGGAGCAGCGGGCAGCAGGAGAGGTCTGCTGCGCCATGTGGGTCAGCTCCCTGGCCAGGGATCCAACTTTTACTATAGTGGCTGGCAGTAGCTTGATAGCACTGTCTTTAACCCCTGTGCCACTGGGGAGGCCCTCATTGTTATTGTTATTCTTATACTTCTTATGATCACTGTGCTTGTAGAGTTTTATTTCTTCTAAAAGAACTGCCAATAATGGCCCCACTGGAAGCAGCCACACTGCCTATTTCAGGGTGCCCATCATCACAACAGCTATGCTGGTATACTGGACAGTGAAAACAAAGAAACAATTGCTCTCATACCAAACATTATGCTCAGTGAAAGAAACCAAACGGTATAATTCCATTTATATGAGTGACAAGAACAGGCAAAGCTGATCTATAGCATTAGAAGTTCGGATGGTAGATTTAGATTTTGTCTTTGGGGAGAGGCAGTGGCTTGGAGTCAGAGGTGTGGCTGCTGGGATGCACCATGTTCAGTTTCTTGATGTAGCATCTAGGTGTGTGAAGGTTCGTTCTCTGAGACTCTTTGTCAGGTGCACTTTCTTGCTTATGTTTCCTTTGCTTCAATAAAAAGTGTCCTTAGACAAGTGTGCCTGTGCTGGCCGTTGTTCGCGGTGTGCTTCTTATCCACATGATGCGGTGACCAATACAAGTTTTTGAGTTGCCAATTCCCAATATAATTCTTTTTTTTTTTTAATATTTTATTTCATATAATTCTTGCATCATTTTTCATCTTTGCACAATGTATGCATTTTCATTATGGTTATATTCCCCATACAATTGCACCTCCCCTTATTTTGATCCTAATCCTTCCTCTCCCTGCTTCCCACCCACTGTAGTATGTCTCTGATTTATAATTGTTGAATTTGATTTTTACTTTGTATTGATTAGTCTTTTTCCTGGTCCCTTATTTAAGTTTTCTAAGTTCCTGCTATGAGTGAGACCATCCAGTATTTTTCTTTTTCTTTCTGACTTATTTCGCTGAGTGTGATTCTTTACCTAGTTCTTGAAAAAAGGTATGATTCTTACTTGAACTTCCCTTCTTTCAGGTGTCAGGGTTATACAAATCCAGCAGGATGATATTGAAAAGGATCCAGCTCACTTTCTCTAGATATAGCTCAACATCATGGAATTATTTCAAAAAGTCTTCCAGGCAGTGCATAGTCTGAACTGTTTCATATTTGAATGTATCTGTATTTTGCTACTATATAGAAATGCCAAATATGGCAAATAATTGCACCATAATAATTTCCTCTAAAGGTCTGCAGCCATTTTAACATGATTTTTAGTTCATTCATATTTGAAATAGGAGGCCCGTTGCCTTGGGGGTGGCAGCGCTGGGAGTGGCGGGATGTGGAAAAGGATACTCAGAGTTCTTTTTTTTTATTTTTATTTTT